TCCTGGCCTCAAGCAGCCCTCCTGCCTTGGCCTCCCAAAGCCCTGGGATTAAAGTTATGAGCCACTGCACCTTGATGGAAGATTAGGATAGACTTAAGGGAGCAAAAAACATGCCAATGCCAACACCCACGAGGCGCTGAAGGAACAGGGCCCCAGCCAGGTGGCTCCCATTAGACCAAATAGCCAGATTATGAAATGTGTTGAACCTGAATGTGATCAGCCTCCTCTAATGAACATGAACTTGGGGCTCAACTTCTTGGCAAAAGTGAAAAAAACACAATCACCCTGGTAGACCCATTGGTGTGGTCATCCTGGCTTATGAGAACCGGTGCGCAAATTTTCAGGGAACCAGTTGTAAAACACTTTTAACATTCTTAAAAATTAAACGATTTAAATTTACAGTGAATAAATTATATTCAGAATAAAAGTAATAAATGCTCAGAATTCATCTCTTCCCAATTATGTTTCTACATGTCTGTGTTCAGAGGTACTAGGGTTATTTTGGCTGTTAAAGCTGCGTAAGGGGAAACATTTCTAATGCTGTGCTACTGTGCGTACTCTGCAGTCACACCAGTAGCTTGAAATTGGCCATGGCGGGGAATTGATGCCACAGAAATTGGCAAATGTTAACAAATCACAGCCTTTCTTTCCTCAGGAGGGGAAGCAGGGAGCCTGTTGTTCACATTCACCAACACACCTACACCACTGGTATTAAAAATCTGAAAAACAAATCCTGGTCTATAGGCAACCAGGTCTCCTGAGATGGAAACTTCTACTTTCTTGGGCCAGTTTATCTCCTTAGTGTGAGAGTTTTTGTTTTGTGTCTTAATCTTGGCGAGGTTTGATCACACCATGACATTTATTGATGTTTTGTTTTAAATTCAGTTATAGAATTTTTTTCTTATTTTTCCTCAATATTTATTATGAAAAGTTTCAAACATACAGCAAAGTTAAATAAACTTCATAGAAAACATCTGTATATTCACCACCTAGATTCTAATATTAAACTATTCTTTCTTTCTTTCTTTCTTTTTTTTGAGACAGCATCTTGCTCTGTCACCCACACTGGAGTGTAGTGGCACAATCACAGCTCACCTCAGTCTCGACTTCCTGGGGCTTAAGCGATCCTCCCACCTCGGCCTCCCAAGTAGCTGAGACTACAGGTGCACGCCACTATACCCAGTGAATTTTTATATTTTATTTTAAAGATGAATTTTTGCCATGTTTCCCGGGCTGGTTGGTCTCAAAATCCTGGGCTCCAGCAATCCTCCCACTTCGGCTTCCCAAAGTGCTGGGATTACAGGTGTGAGCCACTGTGCACAGCCTCTAACTAATTAAACTGTACATTGTATTATCACATATCTACCCTTCTGTCTATCCCTCATGTAGAGGTTTTTTAAATTACTTGCACAATCTGCATGTAATTGATATTATTTAGAGAATATGACATATTAGAAGATCTAAGAGGTTAGTATTAAGATTCCAATATGAACTACATCAAAGAGTATTTGATTTTCAACTTTGACACCTTGATGAAAACAATATGACATATTTAGGGAAATTTAAGACTCACCATATAATCTTGATGTATTCAACGAACTAGAATTATTTAAAAATAAGAAAGATTTTCTTGTTATAACAATTACTTAAGATAGTTTACATTTCTAAAGTATATCAAATGTAATAATGCAGCTTAAAATGTAAAATAATATTTAAATAGTTTGTGTCAACAAAAATTAATCAGACATCTATGAAAGTAGATTAACTTACTAGATGTATAAATAGAATAATAAACTATAGAAAATAGAGTTGACCTTAATAACTTAACAAAAAGCTAGATTTTTTACTTTTGAAAGTCAAATGAAATATTACACACACACACACACACACACAAACTCAACCAAGTAGCCAGTGCAGAAAAGCTACCATCACAGACACCAAAAATCTCACAATGACATGTAAACTATGATTACATCCCTAGGACTGGACCGGAAAGGCCCAGGGAGGGAGAGAAGTTTCTGTAGGGTCCAGGGAAGCTATTCGGAAAAGAAAAGAAATGCAATAATCATAGCTATCAAACACCAACTGTGTGCCAGGAGACTGGTGAGTCACTCCACGTTCATTACCCTCTGAAGCCTCACAAGTAGGCCTGCAAAGCTGGTATTTTCCACCCCATCTGACAGATGCCCGTAGAGAGACTAGGTGACTCAAGTGACACGTAGTGTTTCTAAAACTGACTCCTTGCCTTCCCTGTCCCTAAACTTTAAACTATTGTATTAAAATATCTGTAATGATCAATGGGAGAATATTTAAATGACTTCAGAAAGCTAAAGAATTCCAACTAAATCATGAAATAAAGCCACAATTCAGCCTGGGCAACATGATGAAATTCACAATTTCATCTGCCTCTACAAAAAAAAGTGCCAGACGTGATGGCGTGCACCTATAGTCCCAGCTACTCAGGAGGCTGAGGTGGGAGGATCAGTTGACCCCAGAAGTTGGAGGCTGCAGTGAGCCATGATCGTGTCACTGCACTCCACCCTGGGGAACAGAGACAGACTCTATCTAAAAAAAAAAAGCCACAACTAGGGGTTGTGGGGGTGGCGGAGAGTGGGGGTGTTTTGCAGGTTCAAATTAGGGCACAGAATTAGGTAGCAAAATATTGAGAACCTAAAGAACAAGGACTCTCCCTGTATCCTTCTCAGGGAAGGGCATTTTCAAGACTCAAGGGTCCAAACCAGAAGGCTTTGGGCTCGTTATCCTTGACTCCACCCTCTCACAGCCTCCAGCACCAGGTCCTACTACCATTCTGCTCCTTGGTAAACCTGGGAGTCCACCCTCTGTCTTCTTCCACCCCCTTGGTGTTCCCTTCCTATCTGGGATGAGTTGCTCCCATGGCTCCTGGCTGTTCTCCCTGCCTTTGCCTCCAGCATGGCTCCAGTCTCCAATCTCCATAACAAGCTCATGTGTTGACAGGTTCACCCCTCTCCAATCTGCCAGGGTAAATCTGTCAACACAGGAGTTAGTTATGTCCCTCCCCTACTTCAACATGCTAAGTCCTAAGCCCTTCACCAGGCACAGGAGGCCTTAATCACCTACCTCTCCTGAGGCCTCCACCTCGACCTGTGTCCTTCTCAGGTCCTACCTCACCTTCCCAGCAGCACTTGAAGCGGCCCCCAAAGCCCCATGTCCTCTTTGGTGACCCTAGGTGTGTGTCTCCTTCTTGCTCTCTCTCCTCCTATGATCATCTCCTTCCCACCCTGCAGAGCTAGGCTTGAGCAGCCTTCCCCGCCCATTATCTGCATCAGTTTCCCACTCCTCTGTGACCATGGGCATCTGACACCTCCCTCCCAGCAGAGACCACACTGTCCATGAGCCTCATGAGGCTCTGAGCTCCCTGGGTGCAGTATCCGTGTGCTACCCTGTTTATTCCCAGCACCTGGTGCAAAAACCTAACCTATCGTAGATGGATCTTGACTGTCTGTGACCTGACCGTCTGAATGAAGGAAACCAAGGGGTGGTCCTAGATATCTGTCTGATTCCCAAATACCCGTTCCTCCGCTTTGTGCAGCCTCTTGCCCTTGAAGGAAAGTTAGCAGATTTTGGACAACCAGGAGGTCCTCAGGGAGAAAAGCAAGAGCCCAACAAAAAAGTACGGTGCAGAAGGATCCCAGAAAGAACACATGTGGAGAGAAGTCTGAAGCATGGATATGTTTGTTCATCCAAAGAACCTTTCCTGGGAAGCCATGGGGACTTGGAGAGCAGTTACTGTGATAGACCCTGGGGGTAGGCCAGGAAGGCCTACATTACACCATGCTGACTCGGTATCAGGTTTTCTCCTAAGAAACTGATGTTTGATGACCAAATCCTCACAATGTCACATGGAGCAACTATGATCCCTGTGGCATGAATGAGGAAGCAGAGGCCCAGGGAGATGAGGTGACTTGCACCAGGTTCACAGCCGGAAGTGCAGAGTCTGGATGCGCATACACAGACTGTTCCCCCGGGCATGCCACAGAGCTGTGGAAAATCCCAGGGATAAGGGATGCTTCATTTCCCCTTTTGAGGGCTCATTAACATTCTTACTGCTTATTTGGGATGGAAGTAGAGCCGTCTGACCCTTGACCCTGTGCTATGCCGCCCCCTCAAGGCACACAAGTCCCCCTGTCACCACCAGATCTACCTTCTGGCAAGACGGCTAGACAACAAATAAGCAATGTGTAAGAGTTGGGGGGTGGGGGCGGGCGGGGAGGGACAGGTGCCATAAAGGGATTAAAGTGGTGGTTGGGTGGGGATGTGGTAGGAAAGTGACCATGAAGGGCAGTCTCTGGATTAGGTGAGCCTGGAAGATCTCTCTTTTTTTTTTTCTGAGACGGAGTCTCGCTCTGTCACCAGGCTAGAGCACAGTGGTGCGATCTCGGCTCACTGCAATCTCCACCTCCTGTGTTCAAATGATTCTCCTACTTCAGCCTCCCCAGTAGCTGGGACCACAAGCTCGCATCACCATGCCCAGCTAATTTTTCTATTTTTAGTAGAGATGGGGTTCACCATGTTGGCCAGGATGGTCTCAATCTCCTGACCTCGTGATTCACCCGCCTCGTCCTCCCAAAGCGCTAGGATTACAGGCCTGTGCCACTGCTCCTGGCCAGAAGATCTCTCTTTGAAGGAGACATTTGGGCTGAAATCTGGAGGTTGAGAAGGAGCTGGTCACAGGGGAGCTGGGACAAATGCTCCAGACATGGGGAAGAGCAAGCGCAAATGCCAGGATCCACCCTGGAAGACTGATTTCTCTTAGGATTTTGCATATCAGCCTAGCAGTGGAAGAAATTCCACAGCCGACGTGAGAGTTGCTGCTTTACAGGACCTTGCATAGCTTCCCCGGGGAGACACGCTGGGAGAAAGCTCTTTGTGTGGCCCCTCAAGCCAGCCGACCACTGGGGTGTCTCGGATGAGGGTGGTTTGGACCCTGGATGCCTCCTCACTGAGCTGAGCAAACTCACGTTTTGCTTGAAGCTGTGGTTCTCGGAGCATTCGGAGTCATCCTGCCAAATATCCGTGGCGTTCTCTATCGTCTGCCAAGTCCCCTGAGCCAAGCAGTGTCTGTAGGCCCTTCCTGAGCTCTCTGAAAGTAAACAAAGCTCTGGAGGAAAGGTCAGAACACACAGCCCATTCCCCTGAGCATGCCACAGAGCTGTGGAAAGTCCCAGGGAAAAGGGATTTTCATTTCCCCTTTTGGGGGCTCATTAACATCCTCACTGTTTATTTGGGATGAAAAGAAAAACATGGAAGCCTCTCAGTTTTGTAACACACCATGGTCTGCTAATGTCTGCTGTGTTTACCCAAAGTCTCTGGAGTTAGAACAGCCCCTGGTGACTCAGAGATGTTATAAGCCCTCCAAGGTTCAGCCCAGCTGGGAGACGCCAATCTGGGCTCCTGAAGCTTGCTAGGTGGGCATCTCTTCTTGATGTCCATGCCATGAAGAAGAGAAAGACTGGGGCTGAAGCTGTATGTGCCATATGTGCATGAGTGTGTCCTGGGCCCGGCTCTCCTAACCTCTAAGCCTCCCTGTTTTTTCATCAGGAACTGGGAACAGTAATTGGCACCAACCCTCCATGATTTGGGAAAGAATTAAATGAAAGAGTGTGTGCAAATGATGAGAAAATCCCTCTGCTCATACAGACTGCCATTGCCACTGAGCCACATCTATCCCAGGAGACTCTCCCAGAGGTTCTTCCTACCTGGAGGATTAGGGGCTGGGCTTGCAAATGAGAAGTCAAAATTTGTTGGTCCTTCCTGGTCCTGGCCCTGCACGCCATGGGCCAATAGTAACTCTCTGCTGAATGTAATTAATGGACAGCCAAATAGTACTGTCCCCTGATCCCCTGACAGCTTTTCTAGGTAAGGTGTCTAATTGACATCAGACAACACACCCCAAACCAAACTCTTTTTATTCTTTTCAGAATCTGCTCCACCCATATATTTTACCACATCCGTGGATGGCAAACCCATCCTTCTAGTTCCCCAGCCCTAAACCTCAGAGTCACCCTTCCCTTCTCTGTCTCTCATAGCCCTCCTCTGGTCCTCTAGCTAATCTGTCATCCCTGCCTTCATCTATACCCAGAATCTGACTGCCACCTTCACCTGCTGCTTCTAGACAGTGGAGCCATCATCTCCCACCTGGATTATTGCAGACTCCTCTGACAGTCCTGCCCCTCACATCCATGGGTAACCCAGCAGTCAGAGCGAGCTGAATAAAATGTCAGACACATCACATCATGCTTCTCTCCAAATCTTCCAAGGGCTTTCTGAGAAAATGTCTTATGGCCTTTCATGAAGCCGCATTAAGACCCGGCCCATAACTCTCTGCCATTGCTTCTCTCCTCTCTTCACCATAGCCATGCCTGCCTCATTCTCTTCATGGAGCAGGCCAGGCATGGTCCCTGAGTAGAGCCATTGACCTGTTGTCTCCTTCCCTCCCCAACATCCTTCCTCTAAAACCTTTACCTTCTTTACATCTTCACCAAAATGTCACCTTGCCATTGAAGACTTCCTTGACTACCCAGTTTACAGCTGCAACTCATCACCCCACTCCAACACTCCCATCCCTTCCCTTCCCCATCTTTTCAAACATAGAGCACATTCAAACATAGTCTGAACTTATTTATGATGCTTATTGATAATTGTCTCCCTCTCCTGTGAGAATGTGAGCCCCACAGGAGAGAGATCTCACTCAGTTTTTGTCACTAATATATCCCAAGCATTCAAGAATAATGTGACCGGGTGCAATGGCTCACGCCGGTAATCCCGGCACTTTGGGAGGCTGAGGTTGGTGTGTCATGAGGTCAGGAGTTCAAGACCAGCCTGGCCAACATGGTGAAACCCTGTCTCTACTAAAAATACAAAAATTAGCCAGGTGTGCTAGTCAGCACCTGTAATCCCAGTTACTAGGAGGCTGAGGCAGGAGAACCGCTTGAACCTGGGAGGGAGGGGTTGCAGTGAGCCGAGATCGCACCACTGCACTCCAGCTTGGGTGGCAGAATGAGACTCTGCCTTAAAAAAAAAAAAAAAGAATAAAATAGAGCATACAACAGGTGCTTAACAAATACTGGTTGAATGAGTGAATGGCAAGAATCTCACTCGGCACTTGAGTTGTCTGTGTTAGCCATAATGCTTTGTGCTAGGAATGCAGAGATGAATAGGGCTCACCTCTGCTTGGGGGAGTGCAAAGAAAAATTGTCATAAACGATTATAAATGCTAAGATTACAAATAATTATAAATGTCAAAAACGATTATAAAACGATTAAGATTATAAATGCACAGGTATAGAAGAGGCCTCAGAAAGGTAGAGGGCCTTTGTGCTTGAGGGGAGAGGTCCGAGAAATCTTCTAGAGGGAGGAAAGGATTGAGCTGAGAATTGCAGGGGCTTTAGAGGCTGAGAAATGTGGCCAGAGCCTGTGAGGAGGCCTCCTGGGCAGATGTGTGAGCCAAGGCACCAAGTGGCAACAGCTGGACTGGTGCAGAGCCCCGGAACTGATCATCAGGCTGGAGTGCAGGGAACCCGGGATGTCGGGGAGAGTGCTAACGAGGTCGTCGGCCGGGCCAGGCGACAGGGGTCTCGCATGCCATCTGTAGGGGTCATGATGGGGGCAGACAGAATATGACTGATATTTTAGAAAGCTTTTCTGAAGGTGCCTGGAGGGGGCCAGATCTGAGGCAGGGACTGGTGGGGAAATGGAGAAGCAACAGAGGGTGCTGGTGAGTCCACAGCGGTGAGGGACGGAGGGGAGGAAGAGCCAGAGGGCCTGGCTACCAGCTTGTTGAGACGTGGGCTTGGGTGGAGCCGGGTGGACCCTGAGACTATTCCTCAGATGGAAAAGAGAGCAGAAGAAGGAGGAAGAGGAGAAGGAGGAGGAGTTTGTTTTCCTCTCCTCCATTTTCTACTCCTCTCTGTCTCTATTTCAACTACAACTGATGACAAACCTTGACTATTCCACTTGCAACACTTTTCTTTAGTCTTTCTCCTTCTCTCCGCCCTCTCGCTCCTGCCCCAGACCCTGAATCCAGACTCAGAAAATGCTATTTTCTGGGACACTGTCCTGGGCCCGACAGCTACAGGCTATTAACATCATTCTCTCAAACTATAATGTGTGCTCCTTTTTTATGCCTTAACACCCTGTGGGGCTCCACATCGTCTTCCTCCACAGAAGAGATTGAAACCCTTAGTGACTAACACCCAGTTTCCTTCATCCTCAGCCCCCAGCTTCAGTTGTCAATCATGGCTTCTGTTTGCCTTCAAGCACTCCCTCTTCTCATATGACCATGCTCATTCCTCACGCTCATCTCACAGGGACTCTCCTCCACTCTGTGCATTTGCACATGTTCCTCTCTGTGCCCTTCCGTGTGGTCTCCACATTTTCCTTTCACGGCAGGGATCCATTTGGATTCTAAAAATTTAATGCACAGAATGGCAGGTGGAAGAGTGACTTCCCACTCCCTTCACATTCCAGAAGCCCAAAACCTATTTCCCTTTTTTCTCTTTCCTTCTTTCCTTTCTTTCTTTCTTCTTTCTTTTCTTAAAGAGCCTTTAACTCAACTTCTTTGTAAATGGGCCTTTTTGAACACTTTATTTTCTCTTCAAGTGGAATGGATCTGTATTTTTAGCTCTTGGAAAGGGGCAGGTAGACCAAGCAGAGAGGTAGATCAGCTCCACGTGCCACTGAGGAGTCCGGGTGTTTAAGTTCTTCAAAGCCTAAAGGAATCCAGGGGCTCCTCCCTGGATTCAGTTTCAGCTCCCACCACGCTGGCTCTGTGACACACCCTGTGAGTGCCTTCTCATTCACTCCTCAAAATGACCTTCAGAATTAGCGACTCTCCCTCCCTTCATAGATGAGGATGCGGCAGCTCAGAGGGCTGTGGGAATTTGCCCAAAGTCTCCAAGTGTAAAATGGAGGAACCGGATCTGACCTGGGGGCTCCTGACTCCACACCCAGTGCTTTTTCCCCTCCCTGAGCTGCTCCCAGGGGGACAGTGCCTGAATCATTCAGAGCCCTTGGTCCAGCGAGTTCTCTCTTCCACCCTCCCTAAAATCTCACATTCTCATGCTTGGGCTTATTCCAACTGGATTTCATCAGAGAACACTTCCATAAAATAGGTCACTAACTCTCCCACCCAGAAATATATCTTCCTTCTAAACACTCTCTCTCTCTCTTCTTTGGAGGGCTGAAAATATTTGAAACCAAGATTGCACAATGGAATGATTTATTGGGCTGAAATTAAATACAAAAGGCTATCATCTTACCCTCTCAGAAGCTGGTTCTCACCTTGTTTTGCCTGGAGCTTTGTAACCACTTCCTGAGAATAGTTTTAATTGTCCTTACATTTGCCAGGGGTCTGTGATCAAAGGCAACAGGAATCTAACCGGTAATCGCCTCTCTCCTCTTCCAGAATAAAATAACCAAGATGTCGAGTTCCTGGGGTCAGTAGGGGTGGGATATTATCCTGGGTATCTAAATAATGTTTATTTCCTTTAAACAGGATCAGGGCAAACTAAGTGGTTAAATTCTCCATCCAAGACCCATGGGAGTTAAAAGCACCAATTCACTGGCACCTCCCTTCGATGCTTATGCAAGGGTAGTTTTAAAATCCTTCCTCTCCGTCTAACAAGCCAAAAATTGTGTAGAGGTTAGCATCCCAATCTTCCTCCCCCACCTCTTTCTCCTCTCCATGACAGTGGCCACTCTTACCCCCACTGCAGCCAAATTTAGCGGCTGTGGATCTGTACTCCAGAATCTTCAAAGTAAGAGAGAGAATTCATAAGATCTAAAAATTGAAACAATTGAACTCATGGACATAGAGCATAGAAGTGTGGTTGCCAGAGGCTGGGAAGGGTAGTAGGGGGCTGGGACAGTGGAGGTGTGGAGGGATAATAGGTACAAAAAATAGAAAGAATGACTAAGGCTACTATTTGGTATCACAACAGGTAACGCGATAGTCAATAATAAGTTAACCATAAATTTTGAAATAAGGAGTATAATTGGATTGTTTGTGATTGAAAATACAAGTGCTTGAGGGGATGGATACCCCATTCTCCATGCCTATTCACATTGCATGCCTGTATCAAAACATCTCATGTACCCCATAAATATATACACCTACTACGTAACCACGAAAACAAATAAAAAATATATATATATACATAAAAATAAATGGAACATCCAAAAATAGAAGAATTACAGAAGACAAGAGGAGAAGGAAGATGTATGACTCAGAGCTTAGAAGGGGACTGGGGAAGCGAACTTGAGAAAAACGCTTGATTGGGGAAAACTGATAAAAATAAGACTTATTACCTTCACTCCACCAAGGTAAGTATGAAGGGCAGGACACAGAGACATTTCCAGGAGGAGAATGAGGCCAACAGACGAACTGATCAAACGTCCCATTACAAAATATGCCTACAGGGAGAAGAAGAGTCTGATGAACATCAGTGTTGCAGCACAGGGATGCCAGTGATGGAGGCAGAGGCACCACCAAAGCTCAAAGCCCACCTTCCGGGCACTGGAAGCAGTTGTAACCTGTGCAGAAACCAGCATGGGTGTCCCACTCTCTAGATGAGTCAAAGATAGGGAATGATTTGGGGAGTGCAGGAATGCTTACCACTGTCCCAAACAATGTGCATTTGTCTGCCCAACTTGACCTCCAGTCAATTGCGTCAATGTATACATCGTGCCAATTGCTTTGTTTGACATGAACTAAACTTTCACGGAAATTTGGGGACAAGAGGACACTCAGTGGCTCAGTCAGTGCCTTATGTCCCGCCATCAGCTAAATAATCATCAAACCTTCACCAGTTAGATCCCAGGACACCCTTACTTTGTGAATGTGCAAAATGACCAGTGGAATAAGGGGATCTACAAACTCATGGTCCTTGGTCACACATATCCAACACAAGTACGATACAGTCATCTCTCTCCATTCGCCTATCTCTCCATTTGAGCACTACTCATTCAATGATCATTATTATATTTGGACCATCTCTGGGGATTACCCTGGTGTTTGGCAATCGGAAGCAACAACCTTAAAACTCCACCTTATGGGCCTCCCGGAATCAAATGGAAGTATCTCAGACTAGGTCCCAAACTTCTTTTTATTTTATTTTATTTTCTGATATAGTGTAGTAGAGTTTACTGGCCGATCTCAGCTCACTGCAGCTTCCACCTCCCAGGTTCCAGCAATTCTCCTGCCTCAGCCTCCCGATCAGCTGGGATTACAGGCGCATGCCACCACGCCCGGCTAATTTTTGTATTTTCAGTAGAGACGGGGTTTCATCAAGTTGGCCAGGCTGGTCTCGAACTCTTGATCTCAGGTGATCCACCCGCCTCGGCCTCCCAAATGCCTAAGTCACTGCACCCGGCTAGGTCCCAAACTTCCAACATTGCAAGCTCCTGACTCCTGGAAGTCGAGCATCATTCCCCACCCTCTGCTCCCTACTAGGCTAAAATGGCCACGTGCCTGGCATGGAAGCCATAGAAACACCATGGTGCTAGGTTATGATCTGGCTTAGGACGCTGTGTTGACCTGGCTGCCAGGTATCGGCACCTGGTCTGGGTAAGGCAGTGCTCACCTGAGCTGTACATGGCATGGCTCCAGATGAAGACCTGCCTTACCTGGACCTCAGAAAGCAGTGTTCTCCAAAGCGAAAGGTGATTCCTCTAGCTGATTGACTCAAGGCTTGACTACCACCTGCCTGGACCAATGAAGTCTTCAGAGGGAGCTGGGAAGGGCTTGAAGCCTGGGGTTGCCTTTGGGTCAAGAGAGAAAGGGAGAGTTCACAGTGTTCTGTCAATCTCAAGGCCTCTGAATAAAATGATCTGAAAGAAGCCAGAGACAGGGATTGTCCTCAGTGCTCAGAGGCAATGGGCCAACCTACTTTTCTTCTTTATTTCTTTCGGAGGTGGGCGGGGTACTTGTGGCTGCACCCAGAGTCAGCCTGCAGACAACTATTACATATTTGCTAGAATGTTCTGACCTTAAGGTAGGCTTGGATAAGAGAAATGTTACTATTCAGATTCAGTTAATGCCCTGGGAGATGGGGGACACCCCCACCATTCCTTTAACAGATTCCCAGGCTAATCTACAGCAGATAATCATGTCATGTGATCAGGTGATAAGTGTGCCATGGTAGATGGCTTTTATCAAAGATGGCCACATTTACATACACCCTGTTTCATGCGTTCCATTACAATGGGGCATGGGGTCCATGTTTCTGCACCTTTAGCCTGGGTAGAGCTTTGTAGCTGTCTGACCAGTTGAACAGGGCAGAAGCGATGTTGTGTGACTTCCAAGGCCAAGTTATAAAAGGCAATCTGGCCTTTGGTCAGGCAGGCCCTAGGGACGCTACCATCATGCTGTATGGAAGCCATGGTCAAGTGGAGGAGCCATGGGAGTCTTCCAGCTAAACTCCAGATATTACAGAGCAGAAACAAGCCATCCCCAATGTGTCCTGTCTGAATTCCTCACCGAGAGAAACTGTGAGAGATCATAAATGACTGTTACTGTTTTGAGCTACTAAGCATTGGAACCCACCTCCCAGGTTCAAGCAATCCTCCCACCTCCACATCCCAAGTAGCTGGGATACAGGCACACTCCACTTTGCTCAGCTAATTTTTTTTTTTTGGTAGAGACAGGATTTCACCCTGTTCCCAAGGCTGGTCTCAAATTCCTGGGCTCAAACAATCCTCCTGCCTTGGCCTCTCAAAGTGCTCGGATTACAGGCATGAACCACCATTCCTGGTCTTCTTTTGATTTTGAGGCAATTTGTTACACAGCCACGGATAACTAATACACATGCTTACCAGGAGGTTCCTTGAGTAAGTCTCTCAGACACGCCTGTTTATACTGAGCCCACTTCCGAGTCGTTTCCTCAAGGAGAGATCCTGTAACCTGAGCAAAATAAAACATGATCGCCCCCAGTTAGCTGCAAACACAGATGCGACCTTGTCATTTCACATCATGATTCTCCAAACTAAAGTGCCCACAATGGCCCACAGCAAAGAAACAGCATTTCTTTGGCATCTTACCTTCTATCTTAAAAGAAAATGCAAATTTTACATTCACTCCATAATCTAATCATATTGGCTTTAATGTAAATATAAAAAATGTTAAAAAACTTTTGAGTGAAGTTGACATTTCAAGGGTATACAATATACTTATCCTAAACTTTTGCATCCTCCCACATGAATAGTTGCACACTCCTAAGACTCTGTAGATCACAAAGAGAGAAGCATCACACTAAGACGCAACCATGTGACATATAAGGTCCAGAGCATTGCGGGAGCCTGCATCACCCAGGTATCTGCAGGTCCCAAGTCAGAAGCTCTGAGTAGACAGATGCTCTGCTCTGGAGGTGACCATGATTTTTTTCTGCTCAGGTTATAGGATCTATTCCTGAGAAGTCACCTCAGAAGTGGGTTTCAGTACAACGAGGAGTGCCTGAGAGACTTATACAAGCTACTGAGGACTTGGGATTTTTTTCTTTCTAATGTTCACTATTTCATGCCATTGAACCTTAGAAATACAGTATGCATTGGGCTTTCCAGATAACTGGGCTGTGTAACAGCTTCTAGTTGTATACTTGTACTATTTCTTTTGATTTTATTTATTTACTTTTTTGAGACAGGGTCTCCTCAGTCTATTGACCAGGCTGGAGTGTAGTGGCACAATCTCAGCTCACTGCAACCCCCGTCTCCCAGGTTCAAGTGATCCTCCTAACTCAGCATCTGGAGTAGCTGGGACTACAGGCGCACAACACTTTGCTCAGCTAATTTTTGTATTTTTTTTGTAGAGACAGGATTTTGCCATGTTCCCCCGGCTGGTCTCAAATTCCTGGGCTCAAATGATCCTCCTGCCATGGCCTCTCAAAGTGCTGGGATTACAGGCATGAGCCAGCAAGCTTGGCCTTCTTTTGATTTTAAAAGGGGCTTTCTCTTCTAGTTTTCATCAGGCACCTATTGTGGGCCAGTCTTTGTGTTAAGAAGGAATTAAAGAGGATATAAAGATGAGTGACATCAGGCGCAGTGGCTCACGCCTGCAATCCCAGCACTATGGGAGGCTAAGGCGGGTGAATCACGAGGTCAGGAGATCGAGACCATCCTGGCTAACACAGTGAAACCCCGTCTCTAGTAAAAATACAAAAAAATTAGCCAGGTTTGGTGGTACACACCTGTAATCCCAGCTACTCAGGAGGCAGAGGCAGGAGAATCACCTGAAGCTGGGAGGTGGAGGTTGCAGTGAGCCGAGATTTCACCACTGTACTCCTGCCTGGACAAGAGTGAGGCTCCATCTTGAAAGAAAAAAAGAAAGAAGGAAAGAAAGAAAAGAAAGAAAGAAGGAAAGAAAGAAAGAGAGAGGAAGGAAGGAGGGAGGGAGGGAGGGAGGGAGGGAGGGAAAAAAGAAGGAAGGAAGGAAGGAAGGAAGGAAGGAAGGAAGGAAGGAAGGAAGGAAGGAAGGAAGGAAGGAAGGAAGGGAGAAAGGAAGATGAGTGAGACACAGCCCCTTCACTAAAAAGGACTTAGGGTCTGCTACAGAGACGGCAGCTATGTAACCAGGTGGCATGCAAGGCCAAGGGCATTCTGGTCTGTGGTCCTTGGCTTCCCCACGGCTTCTGCCCTGTGTGGCTCAGTTCTCTCCGTCACACTCCCCAAACCAGGAGATGTCCGTGGCAACTACCTCCCCCTTGTCCAGATTCCATCCACCGTCCACACTGTGAAGGGAGAACAGAACAGAGCTGAGCACAGGGCTCTCCTGCCTAGTCCTCCACTTAAGGCCTGTTGCCTCAGGATTTAGCATCTCAGCCATCCTTGTCTCAAGTCATGCTCCTTCATGACTTCTCTTCCTTGCACTTCCCGCTGGCAATTGCTTCTGCCTTCATTTTCACCTGGTGAACTCCTATTTAACCTTCAAGGCCCAACTCAAGCCTAGTGAGCCTGGGCCATACTTAACCATCTGTCTCTGTGAGTCTTAAGCTTGTCACCCTTCCCCTGCACAACTGATCCCTATGGCCTATCACACTGCACTGTCATTGGACCACTTAACCATCTTCCTCCCTACCCCATAAGCTCCTTGAGGGCTATGATGTGTCTTTCCTGTCTGAATACAAGCTCCCAGCACAGGGCAGGAGTTACTGCTCTTGCTGTCCTTCATTTGCAGAGGCTCAGTTGTGGGATGGACGATGAGTAAATGAACACAGGATGGGTTCAATAAATTGTCTGGCCTAAGATCACCCAGTTAGTCAATTGGCTTTTCTCTCTTCTCACAAGGGGGAACAAGCTCAAATGCTTTCTAGAGCCAGGTAGATTTAGGGTTATCCCCCAGAAATGAGGTAGGACCTGGTACACCAGTAGGGAGTGCAGCAGCAATCACACAGCCAGTTTTTTGAAGATGAGTTAGTGTGGTCATGATTAGACCAGAAGTTCCCAAACTTACTGACTCAGTAATTTTTCCACAGCACTTCTAGGCCAAAAGATCTATCTAAAGCCCCATTTACTAAGTAGGTAAGTCCAAACAACTTAATAAATATTTATACCTTAACAACTTAGTGCCTGCTGTGCATTGCACAACTTCTCAAGATTTAGGATCAGATTGGATGCTACCACCTTTATTTCCGGTTCCACACTGATTTTTGTGCTATACTTGCTTTTTAATCACAGGACCTTTGGAAAACCCAGCTTTGCAAAGATACCACACCGTCAAAAGGGAGAAAGTGAGAGCTAATGTAAAAACCATGAATACTTTGAGCTAGTAGTTTGCAGTGTCTGGAAAATGCTACATATCACTGTACTTCCCTTGAAAAATTGAAATAACCTCACAGCACCCCTGTGAGTTCGCAGTGGTGCCCTGGGGTATACCAGCACATGGATTGAGAACCATGCAATTATCCAATAAGTAATAATAATGATACAATAATTTGCATTTATCCCTTAGTTTCAGTTTCCAATGGGTTTGGAATCTCTGTTGATATCGCTTTCTGAGTTATGAACCAAGAGGAAGCATGTAAGTTATTCACATATTGTTTAAAGAAGTAAACCTCTTTAATGGCACTATAACTGACTCTAGATCACTTTTGTAAATTCAGAAGATGAGTTGCTAACCAAAGAATAGGCTTCTAGAATCCTACAAGTCATCATGTAAGGCCCAGTGGTGGACAAAGTACTATTTATGGCCCCAGTAACCTCCCCAGGATGTGATTACTGAAGAGACAATAAAATCAGTGTCTGGACTCATGTCTCCCTGTCCTCCATTCTTTGCCATGGCTAACGACCATAGTCAAAAGCAGAAAAACGAACTAGAACTAAAAAGTTCTGAATTTTGTCAGTCGAGGGGAGCTGAACAAACTCAGACTATCTTCCCAGTCCTTGCCCTAAAGACACCAAAAACACAGGAAGCATCTCCAAGTTCAATCACAGCCAGATTCCCAAAGTCATGAGGAAGGAAGATATATGGGTGAATTTTTTTCCAACTGGAAAAGTCCTGCTTGACCTTCATTCCTCTTCCCTTGCATAGGCAACCAGCATCAGCAATGAACTTGGCCAAGAAAGGATTAAGAAAAAGAAAAGAAAAACCCTTGTATTTACTCTCTTTAAATCAATCCATTTTTCTTTGTTCGAGGAGGAATACACTTCACTGTAGATGAATCGAAATCACAGATATGCAAAAAGGGAAGAAGGTGGAATTATCATCTAATTACTCAGAAATTACTGTCCAACTCCAGATTCTTCTCTTTATACACATTCATTGTCTTTCTTTTCTTTTTATTGTAATTGCAAAGAAAATAATAGTTTCAAAGCCTTTTATGTTTCACTAGAAGACATATTGTGAATATATTTCCATGTCAAGAAATAAACAATAAATGAAGAATTCCTTTGACAGCTACATAGTATTCTATGAAAAAATGTGATATAATTTACTTTATAAATCCTTCAGCATTGAATGTCTATGTTGTTTTAAAATGTTTGCTGATATAAATGATGCTGTGATTAAAATCCTCCTAGTTGAACATTTGAGAGCACATCTTTCTTTTCTTTTTTCTTTTTTTGTTTTGAGAAGGAATCTTGCTCTGTCTCCTAGGATGAAGTGCAGTGGTTCATTCACAACTCACTGCAACCTCTGCCTCCGGGTTCAAGCGATTCTCCTGCCTCAGCCTCCTGAGTAGCTAGGACTATAGGTGCCCGCCACCACACCTGGCTAATTTTGTATTTTTGGTAGAGACGGGCTTTCACCATTTTGGCCAGGATGATCTCCATCTCTTGACCTCGTGATCCACCCACCTCATCCTCCCAAAGTGCTGGGATTACAGGCATGAGCCACCGCACCCAGCTGAGAGCACATCTTTATTTTCTTAGAAATTCTTTGAATTGGAATTTCTGGGTCACAGACTACACATAGTTTTAAAGGGTTTCGATTGCCAAACTGTCTACCCTGACAAAAAAAAGTTTAAAAATTTAAATATGCATCATTTTACCTTTCTGCCATCCATGTATAAAAGGGCCACAAATGTACTTCTCAAAAATTCTTTATGTTAGTTTATGTTTTGGATGCCAAAGCAACTGCTAAATAACTTAAATGAGTGTGGGAGAGGGTGGTCTGGGGATAATATTTCTTCCCTGCTTAAATTTAGAAACTAAACTATCCCTGAGAATTTCTCATTAAGTGGATTTTATGAAGACTTCCTGCCAGAAAACACACCACAGTCATTTATATTCCATGCAGGGAAAGAAGCTATGAGCAGAATTCATCATGAAAGTCTTCACAAAACCTTGTAATATAAACATCTAGAGAAGGAATATGTATGGGGTTAAGATGGAGAACCAAGAGTAAGGCCATCCGAATTACAGACATGCCCAGAGGACAGCCAGCCAGAAGGGCTCTAAAAATGCATACTGGGTGGCAGAGGGTGGAAGCAGACGCTGCCAGCGGGCACGTTATTGATTATGAAAATGCCAGAGTGAAAGAGCCAAGGTATGGCTTTCTCAGCCTGGTAAGCTGGCCTGAGGCTCTGTAGATTCTGCTGTTGTAACATACAAACATTCATATGTCAACAACTCCCAAGAGCACTACAGAAGAAAGAAAACAGGCTTTAAACACCCCGGGTAGGCACAACGGCTCCAGTGCTCAGGAGCTACAGCATTGAAGGCAAACTTTTAACTCCTCTGAAGCTTAATTTGCCTATCTGTAAAATGGGTTCAGTAACAACCCATTCTCAGAGGCTTGTGGTGAGGATTGAGATGATGTGTGAGGAAGTATTCTATGATAATATCCCAAATGCCATCTCAGGGGTTGGCATGTGGTCGGCAATCCACATTTGTGAACAAAACTATACGATAAGCTGGATACACTCACTCAGCGTTAAGGTGAGATATCCAGAGAGTGGAAGGAAGGATGAGTGCTCTGAGTCAACTCTCCCACCAATGGCCCTACCCCTAACAGACTGAAGGCCTCGGACCAGAAGCAGGCCAGCGCCGCCTGCCTTAAGGATGTTCTGGTCACTTGGGGAAAGGCTGCCGTGATGGCAAGGATTCCATGAAACCATTGATTGGGCTCACATTTACAATCCATGAAAGCCTGAAGGCAGCCTCTAGGGGAATCTGGATGTAGGAAATCTGGTAGGTTTTGTCTGCCTCTCTAGCTCCAGGCTTGCAGCAAAGAAAGCCTGAGCAGGTGAAACCCTCATAAGATCTGGTACCACAGCCTGCCCTACATGGGGGCTGAAGGGGCTTAGAATTCCAAGACCATGAACAGGGACTAACCCTGCCCATGGAACAAAGGAGGAAGAGAGCTGTTCCTTAAGCTACTTTCTTTACTCAGAAGAGTAGAACTGGGGTTCCTTCCCATCATCCTTTTACACTGCCCATAACCCAGTATCAAAATGGGAACTTGGAAAGAGGATGAAGGTCTAATCTTCTTGAATAGAATAAAGCAAGCTACCAGCATGTCCACCTATAGAGGATAGTTAAATACATTACAATAAATCCTTAAAGCCCTTAAATGTCATACCATGGAGCTACATTTACTGATATGGACAAATGTTGCTCAACTTATCTGAGACTCAGTTTACTCATCTGTAAAAGGGGATTAACAAGAGAACCTCCCTCTGCAGGGTTCTGATATAATATAAAAAACAGGGGTCACCTGGCACTCAATCCAGTGCATTGCAAGTGTTCCATAAAAATGTCAGCTGTTATTAGTGTATTTTGTTAAGAAGAAAGCAGACTAAAAATTATATTTATAATATGTGCCTGTGTTTGTTAAAAAAAAAAACTTTATATAGGCCTGACACAGTGGCTTATGTCTGTAATCGCAGCACTTTGGGAAGCTGAGGCAGGTGGATCACTTGTGGACAGGAGTTCGAGATCAGCCTGGTCAACATGGCAAAAAACCCCATTTCTACTAAAATACAAAAATTAGCCGGGTGTGGTGGCGCTCGCCTGTAATCCCAGTTACTCGGGAGGCTGAAGCAGGAGAATCACTTAAACCCAGGAGGCACAGGTTGCAGTGAGCCGAGATCGCACCACTGCACTCCAGCCTGGGCAACAGAGCGAAGCTCCATCTCAAAAATCAACCAACCAACCAAAAAACTGTGTGTAAATGGTAGAAAAATATCTGGAAGTGTAAGCCCCCAAATGTGAATGACGGTGATCTCTACCTGGTGGAAGTAGAGTGATTTGTAGTTTGCACTTCACTTCTTTGAGTTGTATAGGCCTTTGAAAAAAAACAATTAGCATTCTCTATTTTTGTAATGGAAAGGAAAAAGGAAAATGAACAGAAAGGAATGGTCCAGAAAAGAATGGAACGGAAAGGGAGGGAAGGGAAGGGAAAGAAGGAAAAGGAAAAGAAGGGAAAATGGATTTGCTTAACCTAAATACTCAAGCCTGGGAGAACACTGAAGACAAAACAGACGGGTATATACAGCAATTGTAAGTGCTATTTGCAGAATTCACGCTAATGCGGGGAAATGCTTATAATATGATGCCGGAGTGGGGGAAGCCAGGATACAACATGTTTTATGCTTCCTAATGTCAGTTGTTGTTAAAAAATGCCTAGAGAAAAGATTTGAGGACAATATGCCAAAATACGAACAGTGATTACCTTTGAATGCTAGGATTATGGTTGTTCATTATTTCCTTAATACTGTTTTCTCTTTTCTAAATTGCTTACATGAGGCCTCAATTGCTTCTTTTAAAACAATCAGAAAATATGAACAACTGATAATAAAAATAATAATGAACTGCTCTTACTTGCTTGATGGAAACCAGCAGGACCAGGGCAACGATGGGCCTCCCAGAGGCCCAGATACACTTTGTGTAGAGGGGGAAAGGGCTGGTCCCCCAGGGGGCACGGATGCCCATGGGCAGCTCGGGGATGCCAGGCAGGAGTCCCATGCTTCCTCTCCCAGGCCCTGCCCTGCTCGATCCCAGCTTCATCTTCCTCATGAACATTCACAAGTGGGGGCACATCTCCGTAGCCGTCCAAGATGCACCGCAGGCTGTCTCCTCTCGCATTCCTCTTGGTCCAGAGAGGAAATGTTTGCACAAATCCTCTCCACGCCGCCCAGAGAGAGTCTGAGGCAGTCCACAGCGATCTACAGAGTCTTCAGAGTTCCTCCTCAGCCCTGGCTTATCCCCCGCCCCTGCCCCCCTAAAAGCAGAGAGATTTTTCCCAGACCTTCCCTAAGTCAGCTGTGCTTTCTGGGACTTCTCAACAGGCCGAGGAGAAAGAACAAGGCAGTCAGCGGGCTCCTCCCTGAAGGTTCTGCTCAATGAACAAGGCTGGGCTGAGACAGGTTTGGGTTCGAGCTGCAGAAGAATAGCTGGCAGAAGGCTATGGGCCTCAAGCCAGTTTAGAGGCAGGTGTCTTTTTGAGGTGGGGTATTTCTTTCTAAGGCGTTAAGCTTGTCCAAGCTGCGCTGAGACTAACCACGAAGGCAGAATCTCCTCTGGGTCTTGTTTATGCAGAGATTACAGGAGAGACAGTTGCTCAGCTTAGGAGAGAACAGATCCCAACCCAGGCTGTGAAGCAAAAACCCAATCAGCGGCTTAGATTATGCCTACACAATAGCAAAACAATGTGTTGAAAAGTTCAGCATTCAGGTGTCTTGAATACCCACTTGTTCTGAGCACATGTGGCTCTGTCCACCTACAGACCCTTTCATAGAATTCATGATAGGTCACTTACTAACCGGTGCTGGAGTACTCTCTCCCCACAATGCGCCTTGACAAAATCTTTCAATCCACCATCTTATGTCACTCATCCTGACAATAACCCCATGGGGATACAATGAATTCTTCATCTGACAGCTGAGAAACATCGAAGCTCAGAGAGGTTGGCTGGCTTGCCCAAGGCCACACAGCAAGTAAACAGCAAAGCCAGGATAGGCAGATCTTCTGACCAGAAGTGGCTGAGCACAGCTACTGGGGAAGGTGCCCTGCCCCTGCCCTCTCCAGGTGAGTTTCTCCAAAAGGCTCTGCTTGGAACTTCTCAATCCACCTCTCTCAGGCCAGCTCCCAGTGTCCCCTGCAATGTCTCCCAACCTCGCAAACTGGAGGCCCAGGTGGAAGATGCCTTGATTGAATGGACAACAGGTCAGCAAGAGGCTAGAAGAACATGTTTTCACTTCGTTTTTGATTTGCTTTTTTTTTTTTGGTTCTGTTTCATTTTTTCCCCCTTCAAGTCAAAGCATAGGAACTCATCCTGGGTAACTTTTGAACTGAGTGAATTCTGAACAGTTGGGGAAAGCAGCTGTGCTTTTATAAATGGAAATCTTAAAAACTCATGGCCAGGCACAGGGCTCACGCTTATAATCCCAGCACTTTGGGAGCCCGAGGTGGGTGGATCGTGAGGCCAGGAGATTGAGACCATCCTTGCCTCCATGTAGCAAGATTTTAGACCTTAACCATGAAATGCTCAACTAGAACAAAGACCCTAGAAATGGACTCAGAGTGGTGTCACCTCTGGAATCGATGTGGTTGTCTCTTTGGGATGGCAGAGAGCAGGATGGAGTGACCCAGAGGGAGAGAGTGCCCGAGGGATGGGCTTTGGCCCTTTAATGTGGCTGCAACTCTGTTCTGTGACTTCATTAAAGATCATCTTCCAAGTTGTATGCTGGAAGATGATATGTCTTTAAAGAAAACACCTGCTTTGCAAGAATAGTCTGTCTCATCTCTTCCAACTTTTTCTGAAAAACCTTTATTTCTGAAGGGATGAAGATTAGGGCCACACACTTTTTCCCCACCCATTGGGCGGGTGCCCTCTAGCGATGAAACGTGGTAAAGCCTCTTCCCTCGAGACTGGGCAGCCACCAGGCCAGTGAGAGCACAGGACACGGTTGCTCAGACTTGGCCAGTGGCAAAGTACAGATGGAATGATATTAACCGACTATCACTGTCTAGCCCAGGCACATAGATTCGATTCTGTCTGGGGTATTCAGGAGGTGTCTAATATGTCATCAGGAGCCTGTAGGATGCTCTGTGGAAATTTCTCCTGCCCTCACTCCTTTACCAGTGTCCTCTGCCTGAGGAGCTCCTTTAAAATCTTCAGCATCAACTGGGCACAGTGGCTCACGTCTGTAATCCCAGCACTTTGGAAGGCTGAGGCAGGCAGATCACAAGGACAGGAGTTCGAGACCAGTCTGGCCAACATGGTGAAACCCCGTCTCTACTAAAAATACAAAAAAATTAGCCGGTGTGGTGGTGTGCTCCTCTAATGCCAGCTACTCAGGAGACTGAGGCAGCAGAATTACTTCAACCCAGGAGCAGAGGTTGCAGTGAGCTGAGATTGTGCCATTGCACTCCAGCCTGGGCAACAGAAAGAGACTCGATCTCAAAAAACAAAATAAAACAAAACAAAACTCGACCGCGTCACTGCCTCTGCCAGTGCTCCCTTCAGTGAGGACATGAGCGATGGTGCCCAGGCTTCTGTATTCCAGCATCTGAGGCCCCTGGCACCCAAATGGGATGCATGCCACCCTTCCCATTCTGGACAGCACCCTTGCCCTGAGGCAGCTTGCCTGTACCTCGCATCCCCCAGGGTCCCTGGAACAAGCATCTGTTTTCCGTAGTCCTTCTCTACATAGGGCTGGACAAGAATCAGGCCTATGAAGTCCTTGTGAGTCCCTGATTCCAGAATCTAGCACTGAGGACCCTGCCCCATGCAAAAGGCAAGGGTGAGGCTGTCTCACCAAGACTGTCCCCCAGACAGCCCCTGGTGTTCCATCAAAACCAGCGCCCTCCACAACAGTCAAAAAGTGGAAGAAACCCAGGTGTCTGAATAGATAAACAAAATGTGATCCAATAAAGACAGAAAATTTCTGCCTTGAAAAAGGAAGGACATTCTGGCACGACATGCGTGAAGCTTGAAGACATTATGCTAAATGAAGTAAGCCAGTCACAAAGGGACAAACGCTGTGAGTCCACTAACGGGAGGCACCTAGAGTAGGCAAATTCATAGAGACAGAGAGAAGAAGGTGGGCTGCCAGGACTGGGAGGAAAGGCATGGGGAATTGTGTGGCAGGTGTGGATAATGCAAGATGAAGAGCTCTGCAGGTGGATGGTGGTGATGGTCGCACAGCACTGTAAGCATAGTTATGCCACTGAACTGTGCACTTAAAAGTGGTTGAGATGGCTAGGCATGATGGCTCACGCCTATACTCCCAGCACTCTGAGAGGTCAAGGCGGGTGGATCACCTGAGGTCAGGCTTTTGAGACTAACCCAGTCAACATGATGAAACTCTGTCCCTACTAAAAATACAAAAATTAGCCTGGCATAGTGGCAGGTGCCTATCATCCCAGCTACTTGGAAGGCTGAGGCAGGAGAATTGCTTGAACCCAGGAGGTGGAGGTTGCAGTGAGTCAAGACCGTGCTGCTGCAACCCAGCCCGTCGACAGAGTGAAACTCTGTCTCAAAAAAAAAAGGGGGTTGAGATGGTTCATTTCACGTTATGTGTGTTTTACCACAATTAAAAAGCAATGCCCTCCTGCACACCTACCTCCTGGGGAGAATGGCAGGGCCAGCACCCTTGCTGGATGTGGTAGGGCAGTACATGCAGCTCCCCAGGGGGACATGAGAGGAGGCTGTGTGAGGATGCCAGATGGCAGGGACCATGACGAGGCAGGAGGAGGGGACCCCACAGCTCATCCTGCCCCACGCAGCTCACTCAGCCATGGACAGGGCCAGGCAGCAGCAGTTGCTGCTCCTCCTCCCCATCTGCCTCGCCCTCGCCTTCTCCCTCACCGCCGTGGTCAGCAGCCACTGGTGTGAGGGGATCCGGCGGGTGGTGAAGCCGCTGTGCAGGGACCAGCCTGGAGGACAGCACTGCATTCACTTCAAACAGGACAACAGCAGTGATGGCAGGATGGGCAACGACAGCCAGGCTGTCCTGTACATTTGGGAGCTGGGGGACGACAAGTTCATTCAGCGTGGGTTCCATGTGGGGCTCTGGCAGTCCTGCGAGGAGAGCCTCAGCGGTGAAGGTGAGCACAGCCTGTAGATTCTGGGGTTGATGAGTGCGGGATGGGGCAGGGGCTCTTGAGCCAGGCTGTCTGGGTTTGAATCCTGCATCTCCACTGACTGTCCAGGTATCCTTGAGCGAGTCCCTTCACCTCTCTGAGCCTGTCTTCTCATCTGTAAAATGGGAATGATAGCAGTACTTACCTCCTAGAGTGATCGTAAAGATGAAATGACCAGACTCACATAAAGTGCTTGCCGCAGGGCCTGACACATTGCAAGTGTTTACTAAAATTAGCTTTTCTCATTTGCTCTGGTCACCTGATCCCTGATAGTCAAAATCCTTTGGGAGTCAAAGGTGGCCCTAACCCAGCTCTAACGTGCAGCCCTGTTATTTCTCTAGTCGGAATGATCTTGGAGGGAATCTTTTAAAAAAAAGTGTTTTTAACCCCTCAAAGAATTGAGTGGGGAGGAATTTGACCCTTTCAAATTAGTCCATCTGGCTCCAAGCCCATGCTCAGGGACAGAGTACTTTCCCCTTTCTGCTTGGGAAGCAAAACCTCCAGGGTGGAAAAAGGAGGAGTCCTCCTCCCATTCCCATTTCTCTCCTGACCTCAGCTCATTTCAGCAAATTTCTTGTACAGCTTTTTACTTTTCCTGGAGTTTCGAATTGCCTTTTCTTTGTCCATTCTCATAGCATTTGTATTTTTTATTCCTGAGTCCTAAGTAAAAGGCAACAAGAATGAACCCCACTGAGGCCCAGCATGGTGGCTCATTCCTGTAATCCTAGCACTTTGGGAAGCTGAGACCGCTGAATTGCTTGAGACCAGGAGTTAGAGACCAGCCTGGGAAACACAGTGAGACCTCTCTTTACAAAAACTTGTTTTAAAAATTAGCTAGGCATGGTGGTGTGCCTGTGGTCCCAGCTACTCTAGGAGGATCACTTCAGGCTGGGAGGTTGAGGTTGCAGAGAGTCACGATTATGTGACTGCACTCCAGCCTGAGACCCTGTCTCAAATTTTAAAAAAAGAAAAAGAAAAAGAATGAACACTCTGAGATGCTGTATGTTCCTCCCCACTACCCTCCCTCCCAGTGGTGGCCACTGTGGGGCAGTGCCTAGCCTGACTGACCCTTGCATGTATCCCGACCAGTGCCTGTGTCTTGTGCTTTAAGTGTGGTGCAGACACTGCAATAGTGCCTGGAGCTAAGGCTACTTAGGGACCTCCCAGTTCCTCTCTTCTCAGGGAGCGCTTTCTTCCTGCAAATCTCTTCTCTACCTTCATGGACAGATGCAAAATTCTTAGGACCCTGCATCCTGGAGGGTTTCCAAGATAGTTCCAGAATTTGGGCTTGGAAACTGTATTCACGATACTTATAGGCATTGCTTGGGAAATTCCACTTCCTTTCCAAGTCTCATATGAGGACAGCCTATAGTACTTCTATTTCCACAGCTCTATATAGGTGTCACACCAGTTTTCAAATGTGTTGCCCAACGAGCTTGTAAAAAAAACAATCCAGGTGCCCAGTCCTGGAGGTTCTAATTTAAGAGGTCCAGGGTGGAGTCTGGACATCTGTATTCTTTATTTATTTTATTTATTTTGAGACAGAGTTTTGCTTTTGTTGCCCAGGCTGGATTGCAATGCACAATCTCAGCTCATGGCAAACTTCATCTCCAGGGTTCAAGCAATTCTCCTGCCTCAGCCTGCTGAGTAGCTGGGATTACAGGCGCCCACCACCATGCCCAACTAATTTTTCTGTTTTTAGTGGAGACAGAATTTCACCATGTTGGCCAGGCTGGTCTCGAACTTCTGACCTCAGGTGATCTGCCCACCTCAGCCTCCCAAAGTGTTGGGATTATAGATGTGAGCCACCACACCTGGCCAAAACTTTTTTTAAAAAAAAAGAATACAGACCAGGCGCCAGATTGCATCCCTGCGCTCCAGCCTGGGCAACAAGAGCAAAACTCCATCTCCAAAAAAAAAAAAAAAAAGAGTTTTAACCAAGGTGATATTTACTCATAGATAAGTAAGATGAACTCATTTTGAAATGCCTCTAAGAAAAATCAACAGTCTCTTGCCCCTTACTTTACTTAGTCCTACCCTTCAGAGGAAACCACATTTAACTTAATTGTCTCTTCTGGTATTTGCTTCCATGTGAGTGAGCCCCAGTGCTGAGGGAAAGGATCCAGTGGGAGAGACAGACCTAAGGTACAAACCAACAGGGAAAAACATGATAATGGTTATAACAAGGAAGCAACTATGATATGGAAATGGAAAGGGGGGTGATAGAGTTTGGAGAAAATGTAATCCCTGGCAGGGCGCGGTGGCTCACGCCTGCAATCCCAACACTTTAGGAGGCCGAGGTAGGCGGATCACAATGTCAAGAGATTGAGACCAGCCTGGCCAACATGGTGAAACCCCATCTTTACTAAAAGTACAAAAATTAGCTGGGCATGGTGGTGTGCACCTGTAGTCCCAGCTATCTGGGAGGCTGAGGCAGGAGAATCACTTGAACCCAGGAGGTGGAGGTTGCAGTGAGCTGAGTTAGCACCAATGCGCTCCATTCTGGGTGACAGAGTGAGACTCCGTCTCAAAAAACAAAAAAATGTAATCCTCGATGTTAGAGGTGTAGCCCGGTGGGAGGTGATTTGATCATGGAGGTGGATTTGCCATGAATAGTTTAGCCCTGTCCTTTCAGTGCTGTTCTCGAAATAGGGAATCATTTCTCATGGGATCTTGTTGTATGGAAAGTGTGTGCCACCTTCCCCTTCTCTCTCTTGCTCCCACTCTCACCGTGTGATTGGCTGACTCCCCCTTTGCCTTCTGCCATGACTGGAAGCTTCCCCAGGCCTCACCAGAAGCTGAGCAGATGCCGGCGCTATGCTTCCTGAACAGCCTGCAGAACTGTGAGCCAGTTAAAAGTCTTTTCTTTATAAGCTACCCAGCCTCAGGTATTCATTTATAGCAATGCAAACTGAGTAACACACAAGGAGAGGTTATTTATAGCTCTGGGCACAGGGAAGACCTCATAAAGGAGGTAGCCACTGTGCCAGGCCCATAAGGCTATGACTTTTTTTTTTTATACTTTGGGCTCTGGGGTACATGTGCACATCCTGCATCCTACAGGATTGTTGCATAGGTACATACATGCCATGATGGTTTGCTGTCTCTATCCCCGACGTCCCCCGCCCATTGCCTACATCAGGCATTTCTCCCCGTGTTATCCCTCCCCATCCTCCCCAACCCCTGCTGTCCTTCTCCTCCTTTCCCCTCCACCCCCACCCCCACCCCCCACCTACCAGTGAGTGTTGTTCCCTTCCCTGTGCCCAAGGCTATGATTTTAACAGACAGACATTGGGGATGAGAATGTTCCAGGCAGGCAGAACTGAGTCAGCCAAATGTCTGAGGCAGCATAACCCAGGTATTTGCAACAGAATACAAGGCAGAGAAGAGGGGGAATCCTTACATTCTTACAGAAGAACTTAGCTCACATGGCTCTTCCATGTCACCTGAGGCAGCTTCTCCTTCCCTGCAACATAAGGTCTCAGTCACCTGAACAGGAGGAACTGAGCAGGGCATTTCCTAAGTAGAAAAGACCTCACTGGGCCGGCCACGGTGGCTCACACCTGTAATCTCAGCACTTTGGGAGGCCAAGGCAGGCAGATTACTTGAGGTCAGGAATTTGAGAACAGCCTGGCTAACATAGTGAAACCCCATTTCTACTAAAAATACAAAACTTAGTCAGATGTGGTGGCAGGTGCCTGTAATCTCAGCTACTCAAGAGGCTGGGGCAGGAGAATCCCTTGAACCCAGGAGGTGGTGGTTGCAGTGAGCCGAGATCATGCCCCTGCAATCCAGCCTGGGCAACAGAGCAAGACTCTGTCTCAAAAAAAAAAAAAAAAAAAAAAAATGAATGAAAGAAAGAAAGAAAGAAAGAAAGAAAAGAAAAGGCCTCATTGGAGAGAATTGGAAGCTTGCTGGTCATAATGCCAGGAGGAGGTAGGGCCAGAGTAGAATCTAAACTTGAAGACGAGAGTTAGAAAATTAGACCTATGGGAGGGAGCTACGTTGTCAGTAGCCAGTCTTCATATTCTATAAGACTGGTTATTCAGTGGAACACGCTTTGGGAAAGGCTGGCCTAGAACAATAGAGCCATTTGACAGATGAGAAGACTGAATTCTAGAGATGTAAGTGATCTGTGGAAGAGTGCACGGGTAGGAACTAATGGAGCTGGGCATGGAACTCAAACTGCTTAACGCTGAGCCCTGACTTTGCCTCTTACCCCACAATGCACACACCTTAACTGAAAGGCAACAACTGCTATAATTATCCATGAATAATTTTGTGCCCATCAATTTAAAAAACAAAAAACAAAAAAACAAGCCAGGCGCAGTGGCTCATACCTGTAATCCCAGCACTTTGGGAGGCCAAGGTGGGTGGGTCACAAGGTCAAGAGATTGAGATCATCCTGGCCAACATGGTGAAACCCCGTCTCTACTAAAAATACAAAAATTAGCTGGGCGTGGTGGCAGGTGCCTGTAGTCCCAGCTAGTGGGGAGGCTGAGGCAGGAGAATCACTTGAACCCAGGCGGCGGAGGTTGCATTGAGCAGAGATTGCACCACTGCACTCCAGCCTGGCGAAAGAGCGAGACTCCATCTCAAAAAGGAAAAAAAAAACCTCTGCTCAATCACCAAGGCACACGTTTACCTGTGTAACAAACCTGCACATCCTGCATATGTATCCCGGAATTTAAAAGCTGAAGGAAAACAAACGAATAAACAAAACACCTCAGTTCACATTTTACATGTTTCTTAATATAATAAGGTCATTCAGGTCCACCTCGGTGTCTAAATGTTGTCATCACTTTATTAAGAAGGAAGAAAGGACATCTTCCCCCAATCACCTCCCCCCACCCCGCTGTGTTGCAGGATACCCCTAAAGCAAAATAGTTTAGAATTAACTAATAATTAATTATTTTTATTCAATAATAAATTGATTAATACAAAACATGCTAGAGGACAAAATGAAAGCTATACATCAAGGAGTCACACACTCAAATGCTTATAGAGGTCGTAACAAAAGTGGGTGGAGCTGGGCTAGCTGGGAATGCCGGTGACCTGGAACCACCATACCTCAGCTAAAGGAGCAGCCTCTTGCTCATCAGCTTCATGGCTGTGTGTACCTGTAAGCCCAGTATTTATTAGATGCTCTGATTCTTCAGGGGAGGTAAGATGTTTGGATTTCTTTGTCAAATTTCTCAGTGTTAAAATATCTTTAAAACATGGCATGAGCCAAAAAGATTATGTCTGCTGCAGAGGGTAGCTGGGGCTCCCCGTTGGAAATTGCACCACACAAGGCATCTGCCATTTAGTCTAATTTGTCGCAAGTACTTAGGAGATTTGGGGCATAAGAAGGAAAATGTTCAGATTGGAGAGAAACGGGATGGAGCCCAAACAGTCCTTTGGAGAGAGGGGGAGGAGGGGTGAGGAGAGGGAAGTAGAGCTGGCAGTGAGAGCTCCAGTCTTGGGAGGACGTGCCCAGGCCCTAAACAAGTCCAGAAAAGGAGCTTCTGGGCATCCGACTGCCCCAGCTCTGCTGCCCCATGGGGCCTCCATGCTTGTTTTCCTTCTGAAAGGGCTCCATGTCCCTAAAAGTTGACCTTCCCGGGAAACCCTTACCTGGAGGGCTATTTTAAGACATCCTTAGCCCAAGCCACCTTCAAGAACTCTATCCTTTCTCCCCAGTGCCTAGAATGTCTTTAAAGGGAATCCACACCTTTGATCCCACACTCTGAAATGAAAATTTGCACTGAACATTCCTGGTCAAGGCAGCACTTACATGAAATGTTCTTTTCCTTAGCTGAGTCTGTGAATCAACACAATGTGCTCAGTCTAGAATCTATGCTGCTCTGCTAAACTCAAAAAGTTCAGGGCAGAGGGACCCAGGCACCCCATAAAGGATGGGGATGGAGTGGGGGTTGGTGGACAGCAAACTGACAGGGGGTACCAGAGTCAGGAGGGATTGGATGCCACTTCCAGGGCTGGCTTGCTGTCCCGCTTGGCTGCTGAAACACTCAAGCTATGTAACACCCGCCTCCCTGGCTTCATGGGATTTATAAAGATTTTTTTTTTAATCCTGCTGGCTTTATTCAAAAGGAACACCACTTCTGAGAATTTGTATTTATCAAAAGGGTCACCAGCGTCTGACTCTGGGCCCAAGCTAAACTCAGCTGTCTAAGCTACTCTGAATTCCCTTAATCTCCTTGGCTGGCCCTGGCTCTGTGCTGGCCTCATCTCTATTCCTGGTGGGAAAGGCATTTCTTTTCAGAAGACAAGTTAGACCTTCACTCCTTGGTGCATTAGGTAGAGACCAAGAAGCAATGCAGAAAAGGCCTCTGAGTCTCAGGTGAGAAACCCAGGTTTTTCATTCTTGACACCACCAACTCGTGTGAGCGTGGTCTCCTCGAAATCCATAAAATCACAATCGTTGTACTTGCCTTTATTAATAATTCAACACTTGAACACACTCTTCTAAACTGTGTAGGGATGAACCAGAGGATTTCCCAGGCTGCTCCCACTCAACAGTCCCTAATTCTATTTTGGGCGACGTGTTAGTAGAGAGAGCGTGGGACACTCAGCTGGGACAGGACCTCAGAGGGTGACTTGCCATGGTCTCTATCCTCCATCAGTCACCCCCAAACCAGAATTTGGTTACATGTTCACATCAAGTGGGTATCCATGGGCTTAGCATTTTATTTTTATTTATTTATTTATTTATTTATTTATTTATTTATTTATTTATTTTTGAGATGGAGTTTCGCTCTCGTTACCCAGGCTGGAGTGCAATGGCGTGATCTCGGCTCACCGCAACCTCCGCCTCCTGGGTTCAGGCAATTCTCCTGCCTCAGCCTCCTGAGTAGCTGGGATTACAGGCATGTGCCACCATGCCCAACAAATTTTTTGTATTTTTAGTAGAGATGGGGTTTCACCATATTGACCAGGATGGTCTCGATCTCTTGACCTCGTGATCCACTCGCCTCGGCCTCCCAAAGTGCTGGGATTACAGGCGTGAGCCACTGTGCCCGGCCTAGCATTTTAAAGGGAACTGTGTATCTAAGGCTGTAGCTCAAGACATTTCACTTGATGTGTGCAACACGACAGATGACACTCATATACACAGCAGATCTGTGCCCCTGGAGCACATAAGTGAGTCTGGTGGTGGGTTCTTCCCGATACCTAGTATACACACAATGATTCCTCCCTTTCTTTCATAGTCAAGAAAGCACGATGGAATGCAAGCAACTGTGTGACTTGCATGCTAAGAATCTTACTAACAGACATGGTTCTGAATCTGCTCTCATTCATTTGAAAATAAATTGCAAACTTTGATAGTTTCCCTTAAACAAGAAGCCAGTTATTTCAGATTCATATCATAATGAATACTGTTTCCAAAACTGAGAACCCCTGGCCTAAGACTTGCAGTATTAGTCCAGATGGGCTAGGTTAGGCTGCAGTAACAACCCCCCAAATCGGTGGTTGAAACGGACACATTTATTTTTAGCTCATTCTGTATAGACTTCTCAGGTTGGCAAGGGGTCTGTCCTCATTGTAGCTATTTGGGCACCCAGGCTGAATGGAAACTCCCTCTTGACATGGGCTTCTGGGATCACGACAAGGGAACAAGAACCAGGGGGAAAGGCATTGGCTCTTAAAGCTGCTCAGATCCATCTCATTTTTGCTGTCAGTTGATTGGTCAAAGAGAGTTACATGGCCAAGCCACAGTTCAATAGGGTGGACTCTATCATGCTCCCACACAGAGGGGCACCATATGTCCCTGAGCAGAAAGCAGTCTGCACAGTCCCCATTTCTCATTCAGTTAAGGGGCTGGAAATACACCATTTGCCCCCTGATTTTGAAGTGTAATCCTACTTCTGAATCCATTCTCTTTATCTTTCAGATGAAAAGTGTAGGAGTTTCCAGAGTGTGGTGCCTGCTGAAGAACAAGGTAAATACCTTACCCTCTGCCCACAAACATTCCTATAGCTTGGACGGTTTTAACTGTTTTATTAGGATTAGGGGAAATAATGAGGGAGTCATTGATGATTTTCCATGAAGTCAAGTCCAAAAGCTAGAACCAGAGGCTCCCTTCCTGTGCCTTGTAGCCAGCAGTGTTCTGGCGAATGTTTAACAGCCAACTTCATAGGGTGGGTGGGAAGCCCTGATGATTGGCAGCATTGGCCATGTTCCGTGGTGTAAATATTCCCAATAGAGCCAATTTCAGCTACAAGACGAACGCAGAGCTGTGAGACATGCACACCACTGCCTAGAGCAGTTTTTCTTCTTTCTAAAGCTCCCTAACACTTAGCATCTTTGTAATTCCTCTCTTAGTGTCTGTTCTCCCAGCTGGAGTAGAGGTCTTGTGAAGACCTGTATGGATCACATTTATTCATTGCTGTGTCTCCAGCACCTAACACCTTAGAGTAGTCCTTTCACGAAGATCAATTTCCCTTTCTGTCCTCTTTCTCCATTGCCTTCCACTGCCAACAGAGTTCCTTGATGCCACAGGTGGGATCCTCTCGAAAAGGTAAACAGGTGGCTCCCACAGAAACAAATGAGGTTTTGGTAACTGCAGACAGGGCTCTTCAACTTGCAGAGCCTCACCCCCATGTTTAAGTTTGTGTATCTTTTTCTTTCAAAAGGCAAAGATGATATCTTCTGGTAAAATTAAGACATCATCATAGTTTTTGAGCTGGGGCATGGAGACCCCCTGCTGTGAGCATCACTCTTGTCCTCACAGCGGGGGTTTGCTTAGTTCCCTCTCACACACACACACACTATGGGCAATCCTTAGAAACGTCTCTTTCAGCCCTGAGGAATACCTTTCCATTGCCAGCTTTCTAAGATTCAGCAGAGGCATCTGTGATTTTTACTCCAATGTGTCTGTTTTTCATGTGTTGTTTAGAAGTGAACTAAATCAAAGGACTGACCATTTTTAATGCTTCTGAGTTAGAAATGCTCAGCATTTCCAACATCCCTTTCTTCTCTAGGTGTTTTGTGGCTGTCCATCGGGGGCGAGGTCCTGGATATCGTTCTGATACTGGCAAGCGCCATCCTCCTGGGCTCCAGAGTGAGTTGTTGCAGCCTTGGATTCGACTGGCTCAGGGTGGATGCCTTGGTAGCCATCTTCATGGTGCTGGCAGGTACTTTCCAATGGCATCCTTGGAACAGGCTGCCCCAGAAGGAAAGCAGAGCTTCAGCCTGGACATGCTCATTGCCAAAAGAACAGGCTGGCTCTTCACCGTCAGTGGCCATTTGAGCAGGGCAGGTGGTCTACTGGATAAGGCACCAATTAATCCCATTGGATGGATACAGTATTCTTAAGGTGACAGATGAAAAGGGGCTAGGCACAGATGGAAAGTGAAATTTATCAGTGTGTCTTTATCACAGCCATGGAAGAGGGTGCCCTGGCTCTGGCAGCTGACATGGCTTCACTGAAAACAGTGCTTAGGCGTGAGTCTCTGGAGGGATCCCGCACAGGTGCAGATGTCTCCCTAATGGTTGTACGACCCCAGGCAAGTTACATAACTTCTCTGAGACAGAATACTCTAAAACATCTCAAAACACTTCAGCGATGACTAAGTAAGAGTACACCTAGTGTAGAAGAAGTACTCAATAAATGGTAGTTTTTGAAAAAGTATCCACATTTGGTATAAATGTTCCATAAAAATAAAGAACTCCTTTTTTTAGTTCTACTTCTATGTTCTCCAAGCAACTTTTAAAGCAACTTAATTGGGTCTCCTAAGTGGGCCTTTCTTGGGAGAAAGAACCCTGAACAAATGACTTCCTTTAGTTCTCAAACTGGATACAAAAAGTTAGTCATGTTGTTAGTCGTGTAACAGCCCAATTTGTAGATCTCTTTTGTGCTTGATACGTGCAATGCATCTTTCCTAAGTCCTTTTTTTTTTTAAAGATGGGGTTTCACCATGATGGCCAGGCTGGTCTTGAACTCCTGAGCTCAGGTGATCCACCCACCTCAGCCTCCTAAAGTGCTATAATTACAGGCATGAGCCACTGCGCCCGGCCCCTAAGTCGTTTTTTTTTTTTTTATTGTCCCTTTTAATTATTTTATTTTACTCACTTATTTTGAGATGAGGTCCCCGGAATCCTCCCTCCACAGTTTTCTGAGTACCTGGGATTACAGGTGCATGCCACCATGCCTAGCTCCTTCAAGTCTTATCCTCAGTGAATGGGATGATAAAATCCAATTTCTGACCTTCTTAGGAAGGAACCACGTTATGGAGACTCCTGCCCAGGTTCTGACAGGTCCTCCCCAGTTGTGTCTTCCAGGATGTCTCTTCAATATCAATTGTGGGAATGAGACGTCCAATGGAATGTTTAAGGATGAATACATGCAGATACATCAAAAGGGCTTTATGAATGCTAGAGAGCTCCCTACACCAACTCATGCAACATACAGGAGTTCTTCCATCATGTGTCTTCTTAACTGTGGCTCACAGACCTTTCCTTTGCAGGGCTCCTAGGCATGGTAGCCCACATGATGTACACAACCATTTTTCAAATCACTGTGAACCTTGGACCAGAAGATTGGAAGCCTCAGACTTGGGACTATGGCTGGTCATATTGGTAAGTTGCTTGATCATGGCACTCAAGTCCTGGAGGACCAGGAGAGATGCATGTAAGTTTTGTAGAATGACCAACCTTGTTCACAGAGCTGGCACCTGCCAGGATTGTGACTTTGGGTTAATTCTATGACCCATCTGTAGCCCAACTTCCTTATCTATAAAGTGAGGCTGCCTGCCTCAAATGTTTGTATAAGGATTTAAATAGATTATGTTTATAAAACTCTTGGCACATGGTAAAGTCCCCGAGAAACTGAGACACGGTTGATGTTCAATTCTTAAACACAGTGTGGGAGGAAGTGTCTTGATCTATAACTCCTAATAAATACTTCAACAGGGGGAGACCCAGCCCCTGTTTCTAATGCAAAGACAAGGTCATGACATGGAAATCCTGTCTCTAACTGACTCGACCACATTATGCAAGACCACAGGGGTTCCCTTTGATGTGGACCTCTGAAGCATATCGTATCTTAAAAATAGATGTGCATATATACTTACATTTTCATCTTATATAACAACCTCTTATGTTACTTTCCTCCTGGTAAAACACATAACACTTTCAGGGCTCACTGCCTCATCCTACTATTCTAGGATTCAGTGAATGCGCGTGTGTTACTGTGAGCCATATGCTGCGTGAGTTGTTAAGAGTCTGAACTTTTCTTAGTCTTCGTCTTCCCAGTCTGAAGATGTTAATTTTTACCAATGTTTCTCTGGGCACCTGTCCCTCCACTTGCTCGACACTTAGCTGCCCCCTTCTGAATTAGTGCCTTTGGTTCTGAGGAGCTATCACTGACACCTTACACAGTTGCGAGTGTAGTTGCAGCAGAGCTCAGGTGAATTGTGAGTGGATTCTCAACTGTGGCCAGTTTATGCTGCACTCCTTTTTCTATGGAGAGAAGCAAATTCCAGAGACTAAAGGAGCCTGAAGAACGGTCTGCTTGTTTCCAATATCATTTTGTTTTGTTTTTGTTTTCTATTACTTTCAATTGCATAATTTTTAGCCAAAGACGTGTATGCAAATGGTTGTTAAAAATCAAATAGTACTAAGAGTAACTATCTGTCAATTCTTTCCTCTCCCTGTGCCACCCTTCTGATTGATACCCACCAAGGTCATTCTGTTTGTGCTTAGTAAACGGTTATTGTGATGATGGGTCTTACAAAGGATTTATTCACAGGGCAGTCAGATAAACAGCGGGGAGAACAGCTCTCAAATCTGCCTCCCTGAAGATAAGGCTTGGGGATATTTATGGAGTAGAGAAGCAGGGTGGTCTAAGGCAGGAGGAAAGGTGATTGGCAGTGGGGAAAATGAAGTAACTGGTGATCTAAATAAACATAGTCAGGGTTCTTGGCTCTTCACAGGTTGCATGTTCAGAAAATGATAGCATTAGCATGTTCTGAGGGTAGAGTTTTTGGCCTTCTGACATCAGAAAGCCACTTCTCAGGCACTTGCACAGGATCAGCTGAAGGATCAGTGGTCCCAACCAGTTTGAACTGGATAGGAGCTGCCCCCAAGTTCCTGAAGAATAACCTAAGCAACCATCACCATGGTGACATATACATCAGAAATGTTCTCTATAAGGAAGCTAGTGAAGGTTAAGTTACAGAGTTTAGTGGTGTGGCTTTTAGCTCTATTGGGAGGGAAAAAAGCAAGCGACCAAATGCAAGCAGGGCAGGTTAAGTTTGGTGGACCTCATCAGATTAGCTTCTCAGCTTCCTTCCAACCCCCCAAAGCCCTCAGTTTTCCTGCTTTATTCCAGGCTGGTTGCTGTCTGGAGCTGTCATCATCAGACTTCCCTGTGCTACTTATGTTGGAGTGCTGTGTCTTAGGTCCCATTGCGCTGTCTTATTTAGTTTACATCTATCTCTTCTGGGAGTACATCCTCCAGTAGCTTCCTAAGAAAGGATCCAATGAGAGATAAGTTATTCTACTCCTTGCATGTCTGGAAATGTATTTATTCACGATTCTATACTTGATTGATCATTTGGCAAAGTGCAGAATTCTCTGTTGAAAATCATCTTCCCACAGAATTTTGATGGCACTACTCCATTTTCTTCCAGCATTCCTAGTTTCTGTCAAGAGTCCAACACCGTTCTGAATCGTATGCCTTTGTAGGTGGCCTGTTGTTTTCTTCTCTTTATGACCAGTGTTCTGAAATGTCATGATGACATCCTTTGGCCAGGATCCTCTTTTCTCCACATTCCTCCTTGATTCATGTGCTTGGGGGGCCCTTTAATCTGCATATTTATGCTCTGGAATTACAGTAATTTTTGTATTATTTCTTTGATCATTTCCTTTCCTCAGTTTTTTCGTTCTCCTTTTAGAAAACCCTTGTTAGTCAGATATCAGGTCTCTTGGGTTTATTATCCAAGGATCTTATTACTTTCTTTATATTTTGTTTATCTTTTTGTTACATTTTCTGAAACATTTTTTCCACTTGTCTTCCGGCCATTTTACGGAATTCCTATTTGGGACCCGTTTTGGTCTTCCGAGCTCTTCCCTGCTCACGAGCTGTTCCTTCCTCATCATACCCTCATCTTGCTTTACTGAGCACAGCATCTTCTCTTCCCATATTCCTCCGAGGATGCTAATGAAACGGTTTGGTTTTTGTTGCTGTTTTCTTTTGTTTCTTGTGTTATCTCTTTCCTTTAGAATTCTTTCCCCGCCCCACTTTGTCATTGGACCCTTCCCCCAAATGTTGGCCTCCTTGATTGTCAAGGATAATTGGAAGCTCTGGAGCAGGGTCGGCGCTTACCTACCCGTAGGCTCTTTTGTTGCTGTTGTTGGGCATGTGATTGGGTACAGCACCATCTGTTTTATCTTGGAATCCCACTCCACAAAACACACACACACACATATCATGTTGTAGAGGTTCTTTCTGCAACCTGTCAGTGTCTTCAGAAGGAAAGCATCCAATATCTGCAGGAAGTGGGGTAAGCTTGTATGCATGGCTGATCATTTCTGAGGTTAGGCATAGGAAAGGACTGAACAGCTTCCCACTCCTGTGCAGATTTCTGTACAATCCCATTTTCAGACCAGTCCCCTTCCTGCCTTCCACTGGGCCTGCTGTCTCTGAATCCAGAGACTTTCCTCCTGTCCACCTACCCCAGAGAATAAAACCTTACTCTCCTGGGGGAAAGGGAGGTGGGGGAGAGTGTTTGCAGTAAGAAGGAGGCTGAGGAAAGGGACAACCATGTGTCCCAGGGAAACACCAACTTGCTTTTCTTCTCTAGGTTGTTCTTTGTCCACCACACAGCCCTTCTCTTTATCTTACAATAATGCAAACATTTGAACACCCTTTGGTATAAAAAGTAGATGCTAATTACCATGTTCCCAACACAGTGTCAGATTCTATGAAGCATGAAAGGTGTAGACCATCATCTCAGTATGCAACAGGCTTACAGTCTGGATAGGGATATAAGAATAATGATGCTGGCCTCACACCTGTGATCCCAGTGCTTTGGGAGGCTGAGGCAGGTGGATCGCTTGAGGTCGGGAGTTAAAGACCACTCTGGTCAACATGGGAAAACCCCATCTCTACTGAAAATACAAAAATTAGGCAGGCATGGTGGCTCGTGCCTGTAATCCCGCCTACTCAGGAGGCTGAGGCAGGAGAATCACTTGAATTGGGAAGCAGAGGTTGCAATGAGCCAAGATCACACCACTGCACTCCAGCCTGGGCAACAGAGGGAGATTCAAAAAATAATAGTAATAATGATACCAATGCCACTGCCCTGGGTTAGAGTCAACAACAGCAACAATCAGTACACTTAAATGCAGCAGATACTATTAATATTTCTTACACATTCTCTCATTGAATTCCTCACAGCCACTCTGTATGGCGGCATTGATATTATTCCAGTTTTGCAGATGAGGAAACTGATTCAAAGAGCTAAAGCAACCAGCTGAAGGTCACACAGTTAGTACGAGGTGGGGCCACAGTGCAAAGCCAGCACAATGACTCCAGAATCCATTCTCTTAAACCTTGGGCTAAACAATACGTTGACTAGACTCTGGGATTAGTGATCCAAAATGCAGGTCCAAATTGGGTAGAACCAGGAGCTGTTTTTTCGCCAGATTGACCCCCAGCAGGAAGTCCCGGAATCACAGCCCTCAGCCCTCTCCTAACGGTGCCTTCTGTTGACAGCCTTGCCTGGGGTTCTTTCGCCCTCTGCCTGGCTGTGTCGGTTGCGGCCATGAGCAGATTCACTGCAGCTCGTCTGGAATTCACCGAGCAGCAGTGGGCACAGAACGGCAGTCAGCCCTCTCAACACAGCCTCCCGGAACCCGAGGCTTCAGAGAGCATTTGGAAAACAGGGGCTGCTCCTCGCCTTGCTGGCCATGCCTTCAGGAATGTTTCTGGGCACCTGCCACCAGGTGCCACAGGCAAGGTGTCCATATGCTAGCCAGTATCCATGGCTGCCACATCTGCACAGGCAAACAAGCCAGGCACGAGTGCTCACAATGTACACCCTGCCTCTGATTGGACTTCAGAAGACTGTCGTCCAGGAAAAGCTTCCATGCCCACCCCTCCACCTCTCACCTTTTACTAAACTCCTTTGGCTTCAGCCTTTGATTCCTGTTAAAATGCCAGTACCTTGAAGTGAGATAACGCTTACTGAAGATATCAACCACTGACACTCTAGCATAAAAGAGAGATTCTTAAGCTTTCCTGACAGTGAATTTGATAAGGATTCCTAAGAAAGAGGGAGCAAAACCAGTAGTAAGGGGAAGAGAAGTTGAAGAAAGGGGAAAGCAAGTCTTTTTAACTACAAGGGATGCAAAATGTGTTGTCCACATGGGTTTGTTGATGGAAAACTCCAGAAAATGTTTTCTCCTAATTGACACACACAGTAAAGTGTGTGTGGCTATCCCATACTTTCTTTTTCATTTGAATCAAGAAGACAGAAATTTCAAAATGTTTCCTGTTCTTTTTAAAATGTTTTTTCTTGGACATTTTGTGTTTCTACTTATAGTAAAATCCATTTGGAAGGACAGCCAAATGATAGAAGTGAAAACACAGTCAAATGGAATGACATCTTATCTTGGCTAAGTGGAACAAATGTTTGAATTGCCCTGCTTAAATTAAATCGCCAGCCACTTTGGCTTCTAAAAATAATCATTACCAAACATGCAGGTGTTGTTGGAGGTGGTGGTGGGCTGCAGATGTGGTCAGCTGCATTACTGTATCAATTCATACCATGTCTAGCTACCATGCTATTCAGGCCACAGGTTGTACAACACATAATTATTTTTTTCAACAAAAGAAAGGGGGCTGGGTGTGGTGGCTCATGCTTGTAATCCCAGCACTTTGTGGGGCCGAAGTGGGTAGATCACTTGAGGTCAGGAGTTCTAGACCAACCTAGCCAACATAGAAACACCCTGTCTCTACTTGAAAATACCAAATATAACTGGGCATGGTGGTGCATGTCTGCAATCCCAGCTACTTGGAAGACTGAGGCAAAAGAATCTCTTGAACCTGGGAGGCAGAGGTTGCAATGAGCTGAGATCACGCCACTGCACTCCAGCCTGGGCAACAGAGCGAGACTCCGTATGAAAAAAAGGAGAAGAAGAAAAGAAAAGAAAGAAAGGGACTGCAAACTCTAACAACCTTCAGTATGTCCTTGCTCAGATCCATTTTAAAAATTATATTCATGTGTTTTGTAAACATACCATTTCTGGAAAAAATCCAATAAAAACAATCTGTTTGTGCTGAACTGTAACACTTACACTCTCATAGAACAAACGTGAAAAATCCAGCTAACTTCATGTTTGGGGCTCAAGGTGGGCACCTCCTGACAAACGTTTGTTCTGTGGAATTTTGTGTTTCATTGCACCAAGCATATATGAAGAAATACACAATGGATTCTTGCTGGATAAGCCCAAACCAGAGAATGTATGCTGGGTTCCCTGGGCCATTTGCTCACCTAGAGGAGAGTTTGTACCCATAAGCCTCTGACCTTTGCAGTGTGCAGATTCTTTTATATGGTTTCTCATCCCTATGTATTCATGTAGGTAGGTCCTGTGTGACTGTCACGATATCAAGTCAAAGTTTCATCCTACGGGGAAGAAAATACACTGGAGAGAGGCTTCACTGAATTCTCTCTTGTGAAAAACACTTATGTGTGAACACTATGGCTGAGGATGCTAAGGAAGACAATTTTTAAAACTATCTGGATAAGTTTTTACTTTTATTTCTTTATTTTCTTTATCGACTTTTATTTTAGGTTCAGCGGGGGTGACATGTGCAGGTTTGTTACATGGGTAAAGAAAAAAATGTTTGGCCAGTGCAGTGACTCACACCTGTAATCCCAGAACTTTGGGAGGCCCAGGCAGGTAGATTTCCTGAGGTCAGGTGTTCAAGACGAGCCTGACCAACATGGTGAAACTCCATCTCTACTGAAAATACAAAAAATTAGCCAGGCATGGTGGAGAACGCCTGTAATTCCAGCTGCTCGGGAGGCTGAGGCAAGAGAATCACTCGAACCCGGGAGGTGGAGGTTGCAGTGAGCCAAGATCACACCACTGCACCCCAACCTGGGCAACAAAAGCAAAACTCTGTCTAAAAAAAAAAAAAAATAAAATAAGAATTTTGGAGCCACTTGGCCACTTGAGGGCAGTCAACATCATCAGATGATACACTTGGCCCCTGGAGAACAGAGCCAGTGGTCAGTCAGACACAGGGCAGGAGAGAAGGTAACTGGTCACTGAGGCAAGTCAAAAGCAATTCTGTGCTACATCTTCTGAGTTCACAAGGCACTTTGCTTCCTTGTAAATGTTTTAAATGTCAATTGTATCGAAGTATAAAACATGGAGAGGAAAGTATACAAATCACAAGTGTACAGCTTCATAAATGTTTAGAAAGTGAACACGCCCAGGTATCTATGTTCCATCTCAAGAAACAGAACCAAGGAGCCTCATTTCATCTATCTTTGCCGCAATACACACCCAGTTGGATTTTCATTTGGTGTAATGAAATAGTCTATTTTCATATCTCATCCTCATCATACATTCTACATGTTTCAATGCAAAAACTGTTCTCTGTACCCCCAGCATCTAGAACCATGGATGACAAATGGAAAATGTTATATTTGTATATACTCATATGTATATGTAAGCATATGAATATGCATGTGTATATACACACACACCCACTCACATAGACAATGTCAAATAGACTCCTTTTTAGCTTTTTATGGGAAGTAATACAGCTCATGATCGAGAGCATGGACTCTCGAGTCAGATACTCTGTATATACATCCTGGTTTCTCACTTTGACCTGGAGCAAGCCCCTTAATCTCTCTACACCTCAGTTTTGTTACTTGTAAAAACAATCCTCCATTTATTTATTTATTTAGAGGTGGAGTCTCGCTCTGTCACCCAGGCTGGAGTGCAGTAGATGATCTGAGCTCACCTCAACCTCCACCTACTGGGTTCAAGTGGTTGGTTCAAAGGAAGATGGCAGCTGACTCAAGGTAGTTGGACAGGAATGAACAAGGTCTTCGCAGATGAAGAACTGAGAATGCGGTAATCTGACCCCAGAAAGCCAACTATTTTCCCAGACTTTGTGAATTCAGCCCTAAACTTATTAGACTGGCTCAGAGTCTGTATGACATTGACAACTTAACTGCCTTTCTGGGAACCCCCCTGGAACCATCACCCACTTCTCTGGGCTGAGGGACTCCTCTAAAGACCAGGAATAGATCAGTAGGCCTACTTAATGAGATGGGAATTAAGTTTGCTCACCTAAATATTTTTGATTCATTCAACACCTCTGAAGAATATGTATGTATAAAGCATGGTGAAGGAGGCATGGGAGATACAGGCTCTGCCCTGCCCTCAAGGAGCCACTTATAGAAACAAGTTAGTGTTGTGTGGCAGGTGGGGTGAGGTGGGGGGTTGTGAGAAGATCGGAAAATTGTCAAATTATCTGAAGGTTGAAGAACACTTCAGTCATTTAGATGTTGACCAACATTGCCAGTCACTCGTGTTAAGTCTGCATTGCATCTGAAAGACAGAATTTAAAGCTAGGGCATGAGGAATTCAGATTTTTTTTCCAGTTGCCACATGAAGCAGGAGCGAAACATCATCTCACAATGAAAATTTGGGAGAAAAGAAAAAGAGCAATTTGGCCAACATGGTGAAATCCCATCTCGACTAAAAATACAAAAATTAGCTGGGCATGATGGCTAGCACTTTGGGAGGCTGAGGTGGATAGTCAGGAGCTCGAGACCAGCCTGGCCAACATGGTGAAATCCCGTGTCTGCAGAAAAAAAAAAAAAATGCCAGGCGCGGTGGTTTATGCCTGTAATCCCAGAACTTCGGGAAGCCAAAGTGGGCGGATTATGAGGTCAGAAGTTTGAGACCATCCTGGCCAGTATGGTGAAGCCCCATCTCTACTAAAAATACAAAAATTAGCCAGGCATGGTGGCTCATGGCTGTAGTCCCAGGTTTTTAGGAGGCTGAGGCAGGAGAATAGCTTGAACCCAGGAGGTGGAGGTCACAGTGAGCCCAGATCGCACCACTGCACTCCAGCATGGCAGCAGAACTCTCAAAAACAAAAACAAAAACAAAGGTTAACTGATCATGGTGGTGCATGCCTGTAATCCCAGCTACTCAGCAGGCCGAAGCACTTGAACCTGGGAGGCAGAAGTTGCAGTGAATCAAGATTACACCATTGTACTCCAGTCTGGGCCACAGAGTGAAACTCCATCTCAATAAAATAAAATAAATCATCAGCCAGGTTTGGTAGCATCCCTGTAGTCCTAGCTACTCTGGAGGCTGAGATGGGAGGATCACTTAAGCCCAGGAGGTTGAGGCTGCAGTGAACTATGATGGCACCACTGCACTCTAGCCTAGACACAGAGTGAGACCCTGTCTCTACAAGAAAAAAAAAGTATGTGCACATATTACCTTATTTCACTCTCACATCCTTTACTTACGAATTCCAGGAACATCACCACACCTTGAAGACCAGCAGGGGATGTCTTTTTCATGTTCCATAAGAGTAGCCTCCAAAACTGTTGACCAATCCTTACACCAAACTTGACCAGTGTCCTCAGGAGTGGAGCTTGACTTGCAACAAGGAAAGGCAATGAGGAGAACCAACACAGACTGGAAATAAAAGGGCCAGGAAGAAAGGAGAAACAGAAGCTATCAGTCCCAGCAACAAGCCAGGTCTATTCAAGGTGCTATATGCATCACGTGATACATTCTAATTCTATACAATGGTGCGAAGAGGTAATCATATGAGTATTCCCACTTCCATTCAATGGCCATCAGATTCAGAAGGTTTAAGTGCATGCCTGAGGCCACACACAAGTCAGAGCAGCACTGAGATTCAGACTCAGGACTGTCCAACTCCAGACTTTCAAAGCATAAAGTCTAGGGAGTTTGGGGGGGGCGGGGGCGGGAGCCACTTTGAAGGGTTGGCTATGACAGAGCCACATTTGTCAGAGTGGGAGACAAATCCTTGCCTCCTCCCCTCCCTAGGTGAGGCTGTCACAGGGCAGGGGCCTGGAGCATTTTAGGGGGAGAAGAAAAGCTGGAAGGAACCCACGAAGGGAGCCCTTTTCTCTGATTCAGAGATGAGCAGGTGCTGAGGCTTCAAGAGCTGCAATTTGAAGCCAGGTGTGCTTCTGCTTGAGGCCAAGGAGATTAAAGATGCCTTAGAGGAGGTGGGCGGGGCTAACTCTGATCTAGAGTTTAGCTTTCATATCCCAGGGTTTCCAGAATGACCTCCAACTCCAAATATACATTCATCCTGGTCAGTCTTAGTTCTCAATTCTTGAATTAGAAAATATCATAATTTGGCTGGCTGCAGTGGCTCACCTGTAATCCCAGCATTTTGGGAGGCCAAGGCAGGTAGATCATGCGGTCAGGAGATCGAGACCATCCTCGCCAAGATTGTGAAACCCCATCTCTACTAAAAATGCAAAAATTAGCCAGGTACGGAGGCAGGCACCTGTAATCCCAGCTCTCAGGAGGCTGAGGCAGGAGAATCATTTGAACTCGGGAGGCAGAGGTTGCAGTGAGCAGAGATCACGCCATTGCACTCTAGCCTGGACAACAGAGCAAGACTCTATCTCAAAAAAGAAAAGAAAATACCATAATTTCAGAGTTAGGCAAAACTTCAGGATTCTTTCCTACACAGACTAATAAAGCAGACAGGTATTTGGAGAAAAAATCTCTTTGTGGACGGCCAAGTATGATTTTGGTTGGAATATTCCGTATCTGCCCTGTGGCAATTAAATTGGAAAAAAAAAAAACTAAACTAAACTAAATCCCCATGCCCCCTAGTGGATCTGAGTTTTCATTAGGTCAACTAAAGCTCCCTGGGAACTTTGCCCAAATTGAAATAAAATTTCATGACAAAGAACCCTCTGTCCTGTCCTGCCTCTTCTCCATCATCAGGGACATGAGGCAAAATTGAAGGTGTTCAGTGTTATTCAACCAAGCTCTGAGGATCTATAGGCCAGTGGCTCAAAGAATCTTTTAGGCTTGTTGAGACCATCATCCAAATATCCAGGTAGGCAGAAAACTGCTTTCAAAGCATCAAGTCTAGGGAGTTTGAGTGAGTCAGGAACCATCTTGCAGAGCTGGCTCATGGCAGAGCCACTGACAGTAAGTCTGAAAGACAGCAGAAACTCCACCATAGCCTTCACACAGAGGCTCCCGTCAATGTCACCAATGACTCCACATCACTAAAGCTGACAGGCACTTCTCAGACCCTGTCTCACCTGACCAATCAGCAGCACTGAACTCAGATAATAATTTATTAAAAGAGAAACTCGACCAGGTGCATTGGCTTACACCTGTAATCCTAACACTTCGGGAGGCTGAGGCAGGCAGATCATGCGGTCAGGAGATCGAGACCATCCTGGCCAATATGGTGAAAGCCTGTCTACTAAAATACAAAAACTTGACTGGGCGTGGTTGCATACACCAATAGTCCCAGTTACTCAGGTGACAAAGGCAGGGAAATGGCTTGAACTAAGGAGGCAGGGGTTGCAGTGAGCCAAGATTGCGCCACTGCACTACAGCCTGGCAACAGAGCAAGACTATATCTCAAAAAAATAAATAAATAAAACTTTAGACAAGTTAAATTTAACAGACTTTGTTCGAGCAAAACAAAACAAAACAAAAACCACACATACAGGTAAAACTATATATGTGCTTTTAAAAGTGAGGAAATAGGCCGGGCGCTGTGGCTCACGCCTGTAATCCCAGCACTTTGGGAGGCTGAGGCAGGTGGATCACGAGGTCAAGAGATTGAGACCATCTTGGTCAACATGGTGAAACCCCGTCTCTACTAAAAATACAAAAAAATTAGCTGGGCACAATGGCGCGTGCCTGTAATCCCAGCTATTCAGGAGGCTGAGGCAGGAGAATTGCCTGAACCCAGGAGGCGGAGGTTGCGGTGAGCCGAGATTGCGCCATTGCACTCCAGCCTGGGTAACAAGAGCGAAACTCCGTCTCAAAAAAAAAAAAAAAAAAAAATGAGGAAATAGCTACCCTTAGGGCTGGAAAGAGACATGATGGGGCGCGTCGGCAATGTTCTGTTTCTCAAGCTGCATGCTACTCACGTGGTATGTTCAGCCTATGAAGATTCGTTAAGTCATAAACTTAACGAATGCTTGTTTCTAATATGTATATTAAATGTCAATAAAATGCCGGGACTTTTACAATTTTCCTGGTTATTTCTAATTTCCAAGAAAGAAATACAGTTTCCTTATCCCCTGCAGACACACACACACACACACACGCGCGCGCGCGCAAGCGCACAGCTCTTAGCCCCACTCCTGATTGGTCCAATGCTGTTTACACACAACTTAGGACCTGATTGTGATTGGCCTTTTTTTTTTTTTTTGGATGGCTCCAGCCCTTGAACTGAGTTTCTGTGTCTCCAGTTCTAATTCTACTGAGTTTCCTTATGTAATGAAAATATTTCACATTGGGGATAAATTCTCAGTATCCTTAATCACGAAAGATAACAACAGTTACCTTCGAATGGCCCAGGGTCTGTGCTAGGTTAACGCGATGCAGATCGTTTATCCTCTCAATGGTCCTGCCCATTTTATAGACAAGGAAGCTAAGGCTCAGAGGTGAGAAGCACTCCCCAAACTGTGCTCTTTCTGCTATTTCCTGTCACACCTCCAAGTGGTTCTTTCTGCAAAAGCCTTCATTCTGTAGAATAGTTTTGTATGCTTTGCATCTCGAACTAGAGAGCAAATGCCAGATGGCCCTTCTGCCACATCCATCCAAACCACCTGGAAGCTACCTGATTGCGAGGGTTACTGGAAGTGAAGGCAAGGATGTTTGTGCTGAACATCCCAGGGTCTGATCCCTCGTGCTCAGCCCCAAACCGCAGAGGAAACCTCTAATAGTCAGGCAAGCCAGGAGAGCTTTGGCAAGAGCCCTGAAATCAGACCCGGCCAGCATGTGTTCCTAAATATCAGAATAGACACTATATTTATTCTGAAAGCCTTTTAGTGCAACTGAAAGCTATAAATAACCATTAGGGCCCAAGCAAGTGGCCTTAACCCATGGATTTTCTTCCAAAAAATGCAGACAGATTTTAATTAAGTTTGCAATTAACCTTTGGGGAGGGCAGGTCCCCTGGATTCCATTTGCTTCTGGAGACACTGTGAGTAATTTCCTATTTGTTGAACATTTGGGGATTAGCATGCTTACCGGGTGTTCAGCTTGGAGGCTTGCACAGAGCCAAGCTCCTTGCAGCCTTGGCCTCCCCCAGCCCTGAGTGTCCCGATCAGTGTCTCTTTGCAAAGCCAATCCCCTTTTACTCCGTTGTCCCCCAGAACAAGATGGGAGTCATGGCTGTGCTGATGCTGCCCCTGCTGCTCCTGGGAATCAGCGGCCTCCTCTTCATTTATCAAGAGGTGTCCAGGCTGTGGTCAAAGTCAGCTGTGCCGAACAAAGTGGTGGTGATCACTGATGCCATCTCAGGACTGGGCAAGGGTAAGCTGGCTTTGCTCCCACCTATGCCCATTTCTGCCCCCAAGGACTGGCAGGGTGGCAGGATGGTGTGTGGGCAAACCTGCTAGGCAGGAGGGGATCAATCCTGTGCTTTCTCCCAGCTTCTATCATTAACCAGCAAGTTTCCTGTCTTTTGGAAGCTGCAGATTCCTGATAAATGAGGGGGGTGGAATATCTAGGGTTGCAAACTCACAGTCTAAGGGGTAAAATTGGTCTGCAGATGTGATTTGTATTGCCTTTGGGGAGTTTCCAGAAATTTTGAAAATGCAAAGCCTTTAGCTGGAGCAAGCAGTGTACTGGTTGTGAGCCCAGACTCAGGAGGAGATGGGTTCTGCTCCTGGCTCCAGCACTGACTAGCTGGCTACTTCACCTCTGTGCCCTAAACCTCCCATCTGTAAAGTGAGAATACCAGCAGTCTCTACCTCATGATGCCGTTGTGAGGAACGAATGAGTTCATAGATGGATAGCACTTAGAATAGCACCTGGAGCTCAGTGGGTATCACTCAAGGGTTAGTAATGATGATAATGAACACACGTAGGCAGAACGTGCACACTATAGTGGGCCACCTATCCCACCCATCCCTATTGCCTCACACTAGGCCTGATTCAATCATTGCACTCGCTGGCATGGAAGGCATTTGCATTTGCAGCCCCTGAATTATATAGTCTCAGAGGGGCCCTTCTGCTGGTGACATAGATGATATGAGGAGGTGTAATTGTCCTTAAGTTTGCAAGATTCTGACTCTATCTTTCCAGACACTTGTGGTACAACTTTATATGCTATATAATTACTGCAACCTTTGCTGTTGTTTTTATTTTTTAAGACAGAGTCTCACTCTGTCGCCCAGCCTGGAGTGCCATGGTGATCTTGGCTTACCACAACCTCCGCCTTCTGGGTTCAAGTGATTCTCCTGCCTCAGCCTCCTGAGTAGCTGGGACTGCAGGTGTGTGCTACCACGCCTGGCAATTTTTTTGTATTTTTAGTAGAGGCGGGGTTTCAACGTGTTGGCCAGGACGGTCTGGATGTCCTGACTTTGTGATCCGCCTGCCTTGGCCTCCCAAAGTGCTGGGGTTACAGGCATGAGCCACTGTGCCCTGTTGTTTTTAGTTTTTATTTTATCATTATTTTTTTTTTACAGGAAATTAAGGAACAGGTTGGACAATCTTAGAGATTGTTTAAATGGTTGTGACCAAAATGCTGACAAAAATATGGACATTGAAGGCCAGGCTTAGGAGGTCTCAGAGGAAAGGAGGAACTTTTTTTGGGGGGGGGAAGAGAAAAAGAAGGGGAAAAAAAGAAAAAGAGGGAAAAAGGAATATTACTTCATTCCTAAAATGGGTTTCAGTAATGGCCGATCAATATTTTGAGTGTTTAAAGTGGTTAATGCATATTTTATGTGTTTAAAATGGAGACCTCTATTGTGTTTATTTGTTCTGGCTCTGAGTTCAAGTCCTGGATATCATTATCAATTTTTTGTCTCGTTGAATCTAAATCTCATTATGTGTCTTATGTATCTGGGTGTTAAGATCTCTTATTGTTACATTAATCCTTTTACCCTTGCATCCTTGTAGCTTTGAGATCTATTTTATTAAGTGTGAGAATTGCAACTGCTGCTTTTTATTTATTTGTTTTTGCTCTCCATTTGGTTGGTGAGTTTTTTTCCATCCCCTTGTTTTGAGTCTTTGTATATCTTTAGATATATCGTTAGATTTTGTGGATAATGTGTATTTTGTGTGTTTAAAATGGAGAGCTCTATTGAGTTTATTTGTTCTGGATCTTAGTTCCAGTCCTGGATATCGTTATCAATTTTCTGTCTCTTTGAATCTAAATCTTATTATGGGTCTTATGTATCTGGGTGTTAAGATCTCTTATTATTACATTAATCCTTTTACCCTTGTATCCTTGTAGCTTTGAAATCTATTTTGTCAAATATGAAAATTGCAACTCCTGCTTTTTATTTATTTATTTTTGCTCTCCATTTGGTTGGTACGTTTTTTTTTTTTCCAACCCTTTATTTTGAGTCTATGTATATCTTTGGATATACGTTAGATTTTGTCTGTATCTTTTGATTGGGAGATTTGGTCGATTTAAATTTAGGGTTGCTGCCATTTGATATTAACTGGCTATTTTGTCCTTTCATTGATGAAAATTCTTCTTTATATTAATGCTCTTTACTTTTTGGTGTATTTTTAGAAAGGCTCATACTGGTTGTTCCTTTCTATGTATAATGCTTCTTTTAGAAGTTCTTGTAAAGCAGGCCCTGTGGTAATAAAATCTCTGCATACTTGCTTGTTCCTAAAAGATTTTATTTTTCCTTCAAATGTAAAGCTTAAATTGGCAGGATATGAAATTCTGGGCTGAAAGTTCTGTTGATTAAGTATATTGAATATTGGCCCCCACTCTCTTCTAGCTTGTAGGGTTTCCGTTGAGAGATCTGCTGTAAGCCTAATAGGCTTACCTTTATGGGTAACTTGATCTTTCCCTCTGGCTGCCCTTAATATTTTCTCCTTCGTTTCGATCTTGGTAAATCTAACGATTATGTGCCTTGGGGTTGGTCTTCTTGAGGAATATCTTTGTGGTGTTCTCTGTATTGCCTGGGGTTGAATAGTGTCCTGCTTTGCTAAATTAGGAAAATTTTACTGGATAATGTCCTGGAGAGTATTTTCCAGCTTGAATTCATTCTCTCCGTCACATTCAGGTACACCAATCAAGCGTATATTAGGTCTTTTCACATAGTCCCATATTGCTTGGAGACTTTGCTCATTCCTTTTTATCCTTTTTTCTCTATTCTTGTCTTGTCATTTTGTTTCATTAAGTTGGTCTTCGACCTCTGATACCCTTTCTTCTGCTTGATCCATTCAGCTGTTTAAGCTTGTACATATTTCACTAAGTTCTCGTGTTGTATTTTTCAACTCCATAAGTTCATTTGTATTCCTCTCTATATTGTCTATTCTTTTCAACATTTCATCGAACCTTTTTTCCAAGTTCTTAGTTTCTTTACATTGGGTTAGAACAAGTTCCTTTAACTCCCAGAAGTTTCTTATCATCCACCTTTTAAAGCCAACTTCAGATAATGGAACACAGTCCTTTTCCATCAGGGCTTGTTCCGTTGCTGATGCGTCCTTTTCCATCAGGGCTTGTTCCGTTGCTGATGGGTTCTGATTTTGAGTATACTCGGCCTTCTTAGGCTGTTTTTTTCCCTTCATTATAGATGAACCGCCTTTCTAATTAGGTTTCTGAGTCGACGTCAAACTTATTGATTCCCAGTGCTGGGATCCGAGCAACCCATTGTGGCAGCCTAAATAGCAGTGATAAGACTGATGGTGCTCTTCTGCCCGGGAATCTCTGGTCTGGCTTCCCTCTTGAGTCCACAACAAGCGGTTCTGATTTCCCAGAGCTCCAAACTCCGGTCAGTAGGGGAAGCAGTCCCATTGGCTCTGCATGAAGAGCTGCTGCCCCAAGACGCTGGCAAAACTGCTGCGGCGGCCTCAAGAGTTGCGCTGGCGACCCGTGGGGCTCCTCCACTGGGAATCGGCTGATCGGTGAAAATTTGTCTAAAGATGTGGCGTCGTCTCGTTCTCTGAGTTTTCACTGGGAGCTACAATCCCGAGCTGTTAGCAGTCGGCCATCTTGGATCGATCCGGAAACAGATTTATCGTTTTTATTATTTTTAATCAATTATAGAAGCCACACAGCCACACATTCATTAGTAACTCAACAAGTGTCCACTATGTCCTGAGCATTGCCCCTGAGCATCCCTCTCAGGGGCTGGCCACTTACTGCCATGGTGCTGCCATCGTGAAAATATTTGTAATGTTCCTGATATTGCCTCAGAGCCTGCTGCTCATCCTCTTCGGCATCCCAATGGGAGCCAATCTGCACACTTTGAGGATGGCTTTGATTTCAGTGGGTGATCCACCTGGGTCCATCTTGTAAGATAAAAAACAAATAAAAAACAAAGCATAAGGCAGACAGACTAGGCTCTCTACGTGGCCCCAGATGAGTCCCACAAACAATTTCCAGAGAGGATATCCTGCATCAGAAGGGAGCGAGGTGTCTGGGCATGGTGGCTCACACCTGTAATCCCAGCACTTTGGGAGGCTGAGGCAGGAGAATTGCTTGAACCCGGGAGGCGGAGGTTTCAGTGAGCTGAGATCACGCCACCGCCCTTCAGCCTGGCACCTGGTGACGGAACAAGATTCTGTCTCAAAAAAAAAAAAAGGGGGGTGCGGGCAAGGTACACAAACTCAAACTCCTTCTTCTTCCAGGGCAAGCCAGAGCACACACATGCATCAATCAGACCAGACACTAGGCAACAGGGAGTGTGTTGCCCTGGAGAAGTGGAAAAGAGATACTCACCTAGAGCCTTTCAAAATGAAGGCTTTGGGGAAAGTTTGCTCTCCCAATGGTGCATCTTGTCTGGCATTGCACCAGGCTGCTCATATGCAACCCCTGACATGGCCTCTACCCTGGAGCCTTTCCTGACACCTTCATTGCTCCTTCCTGTTGAATGACCCTTGTGGGGTCAGCTTGTGACCTGGCCCCTCCTTTGGATAAGTGTGTTCTCGCACATGTGTTTGCTTTCCAGTTTGATTCCAACATGCTGGAGAATATACTCTGTATGATTTAAATTCTTTTGAATTTGTGGAGGTTTGTCTTAGGATCTATCTTGGTACGGGTTCTGCGAGTGCTGGAAAAAATGTGCATTCTGCCACTGCCCTACGAATGCGGATTCAATCCTGTTGGTTGGGGAGGTTGCTCAGTTCTTCTGCAGCCTTGCTAGTTTTGTGTCTTTTTAGTAGAAATACAGTTTCATTTATCGTTGAGAGACCTGTATTTGTTTTAATCATCTCATGCATTTTTAAAACATCTCATTCATTTGTAGTCACACATGACACCAATCAGGCACCCAGGAAATACATCTCATGAGGGAAACAGCCTTTACAGGAGGATCCCATGGCTGAGCTTGTCGTGTCTGCTG